GGTGAGCGAGAGGAGAGCAGTAGGGACAGACAGGGCACAGCTGGGTCCCTGAAGAGCTGCATGTAACTACCTGTTGGAGTCAAGGGCTGGAAGGGAGGGAAGGCAGGCAAGGGGCTCCTGTGCCCTGCCCCTCCAACCCAAAGGCGATGGAGGAAGGGCAGGGCAGGGCTTCATGAGAAGAAACAGCATGGACATCACTGCTTTGAACAGTCAGTGTGTTGGGAGCGCTTGCCATACAAGCCTGGCACCTGAGTGCAATTCCAGGAACCCACCGTAGGGGGAGAGAACCAATTCCATAAAATTGTCCTCTGACTCTCTCTCTCTCTCTCACGCACGCACGCACACGCACACAAGCACACGCCATGGCATGCATGTGCTGGTACGTACACACTGGGCCCATTACACTGTCAGGGTGCCCTTATGCTCCTGAGGCTGACTCAGGACTATGCTATCCTATCCGTGCTGGCCTGGACAAAGATCCAAACTCACAGGTTTACCCCTGAGCATGAGTCACTTCAGTGTTGTAGATGCACAGCACCCCAAGTTCAATCATCACAATTGGGGACCTTTGAGCTCCGTGCCCAGCAGTTGTTGTCAGCCCCAACATTAATGACGCCCCAGGAATCCCTGAAGCACTCATGGGGATCTGCTGGAGTGGATGGGCAGGTCTGGAGTCAGACCTCCTGGGCCTGACTCATGAGCCACAGCCCCTTCTGATGCACTGAGTGACGGCTACCTCAGTCATAACAACTAATGTTTGCTTTGCGTTTTATGAGGCACCAGGCGCTCTCCTCAGCATGTCCTGCCTGTCATTAGCTGTCTTCACCTGCACACACTTAGCAAAGTGGCCTATTGTACAGTTAAGAAACTGAGGCTCGCCGGGCGGTGGTGGCGCACGCCTTTAATCCCAGCACTCGGGAGGCAGAGCCAGGCGGATCTCTGTGAGTTCGAGGCCAGCCTGGGCTACCAAGTGAGTCCCAGGAAAGGCGCAAAGCTACACAGAGAAACCCTGTCTCGAAAAACCAAAAAAAAAAAAAAAAAAAAAAAGAAACTGAGGCTCAGAGCAGTTGTGTGTAACCTCCCAGGGTTGCGGAGCCGGGAACAGGAATATGATGGAGGGCTACTTGATTCTCAAACCTCACCTTTCTTAATTATTCAGCCTCCTGCAGTGTCTGTGCTGGGTGAGGGGAGAGACAGAAGGGTATGCCCAGGGGAACAGAAGTGGGAACTGCTTCCTGAGGTCATATTGTTGTTGAACTTAGGGGCCACAGCCTGTGCCCCATGGCCAGGTTCAGACAAAGAGTCAGATTAAGAGTGGAGAGCAGCCGGGCAGTGGTGGCGCACGCCTTTAATCCCAGCACTCGGGAGGCAGAGCCAGGCGGATCTCTGTGAGTTCGAGGCCAGCCTGGTCTCCAAAGCGAGTTCCAGGAAAGGCGCAAAGCTACACAGAGAAACCATGTCTCGAAAAACAAAACAAAACAAACAAACAAAAAAGAGTGGAGAGCAGAAAAAGATTTCTTCATGACAGGAAGAGAAACAGATTCATTTTCTGGGTCCTGAAGTGAGATAAGTTGACATAGAGGGCCAAGGATTTGCATATTTAGGCAGTCCTAGGGTGGGCCCGTCCAACACTGACCCATGACTGTAAGGGGAAGCCCCAGGAGGAGAGGCTGGCTCCTCGGGGCCTCATCTAGAAGTTGGCTTCCAGGCCAAGGAAGAGCTAAAGAGCAAGTTAGAGGGAAGACACACTCCACGTCAACCTCGGGATGGGGGCGCCCCTATATGAGTTTCTGAGAAAAAGCTGGGGACAGACTAGCGGCTGGATGTTGAGAAGCCAAGGACAAGTGGCCAAGGTCAGGGTAACAGAACACCCAGACACAGAAGAGCTGAGGGCAGGCCCCGAAGAGGACCCTACAGAGGATCCTACCTCAGAGGAACAGGAGGCTGGGAAAAGAGCTAGCCTGAAGAACCACCTCTGCTGATCAGGCCCTGTTACTCCCCTTGAGTCTGGGCTGGCCCTAACTTGTTTTTGACTGACAAGAAGTGATGTCACAGCATTTCCAAGTGTTGCTCATAAGCAGCATGGGTTCTATAGCCGAAGCCCTAAGGGAGTCAGCCACCAGGGAGGTAGTCAGACGACAGAGGTCCCGAGACCATCGTGCATCCAGGAAGCGGAGGGAGAGCCACAGCGAAGCAGGCATCCCGCTAAGGCGGCCCACCTATGATGGGAGAAGCTATGACAGACATCCACAGGCAACCTCAGGTGACCTGTGCTCAGCTGCAGGAAGGACACAAGGACTGGCCCAGGCCAGCCATAAGTCCAGGAGAGTGACAAGAACATTGCCATACTCAACCATCAAGTTTACTTTACGGTAGTTGCTTACAAAGTAACAGATACCTGAAGGTTAGTAGTTTAATACTCACAGTCCCCTGGGACGAACATTACCGCCCCATTTAACAGATGAAGAAACTAAGCCCAGAAAGGGAGATGACTTCAGGAGGCAGTTGTGGAGTTTGAGTCAGGGAGGCTGGTCCAGGCTATTTCCACAGCAACGGCTGGATGCCTGAGGCTATAACCAGACTGAACAGCCAGACAGTTGTGTTTGAGGCCAAATGTCCAACGATGGAGGGGGCTGAGCTTCTTCTCCCAGGTGGCTGACCTGACACCTGCTGGAAACCGGGTTTGTTCTTTTAAAAGCCAGTTTACTGAGCTGGAGACATTGCTCAGGGCATCAGCTGCTCTCCCTGAGCTGATTGCCAGCATCCACATGGCAGCTAACAACCGTCTGCAACTCCAGTTCCAGGGGATCTGACTCCTTCTTCTGTGAGGACCAGGCACCACAGGGTGCCCAGACATACATCCAGACAAAACACCCATACACATACAATTTTTAAAAATATTTTAAAAGGTTTACTAACAAGATTTGTACATAGTAAAATGTACAGACCTAACTGTGCAGTGCGGTACCTCTTACATGGGTATGTGCCCTGTCCCCACTACCCAGACTGAGTCAGAAGACACCTGCCACCCCAAGGATCCCTGTGTCCACTGCGGGGCAGTGTCCCTTCTTCCCCAGCTCAGGGCACCACTGTTCTGCGGCTTTTGAACTTCATGGCTTCGGCTTAACCATTAAGTCTGGAAGACTCACCCATGTTTTTTGCAGGTAGCAGTTATGGTTTATTGCCATACTATACCATTGTGTACAAATAGACCACAATTGTTCTTTTTTGGGGATGGGACATGGGGGTCACATGTAGTCCAGGCTGTCCTGGAGCTTGCTGTATAGCTGAGGGTGACTTTGAACTTCTCATCTTTCTGTCTCCATTTCCCAAGAGCCGGGATTAACAGGTGTGTATCAAAACCACCCCTGGCTTACTCAAGGCTATGTATGGACTGGACGCAGGGCTCCATGCTTGCTGGGAGAGCACTCTATCAACTCAGTCACATTCCCAGCCACTTACTTTACCACTGAGAGGCAGCCGAGGTTTGAGCAACCTTGAGTAGGGCTGACATGAACGTCACTGTGCAGTGGGCAGGCCCTTGATGCTCCAGATGCCTCTAAGGGAGGGAAGTGCTGGGTCAGAGAGATGTAAGTTTATCCCAGAAAGAAAGTGCCAAAAGCTGCCACAGTGTGCCAAGTGTGCTTCTGCCAGCAGAGCATGGCAGTCCCTGGTGTCCCAGTCTTGGCTAACACTTGGGACTGCCGGGTCTTTTGAGCTGTTCTAGAACCAGGGAGTGAAGATTTTGTTTGCAAGGACTACTATGAAGCCTGGTGACTTGTGACCCTAAGCACGGGAGCCAGGGATTTCGAGGAAGGTGAGGATGATGAGAGAGAAGGGCTTGGACTCTCAACCCTGTATGTGGATGCTGGGGCTGCCAGCCACAGATGGCCATCGTCTCTGAGAAACCTTGGTCGGAGGGTCTCTGCATAAAAGAATAGTAACAAAAGAAGCCCTTCCAGAATGGCACCCAGACACAAAGACTTCCCTTGCTTCTCATTGGTGGAGCCGCCTGCCATCCATGCCACTCTTGAACCAATCACAGGGAAGGATGCAGACAGGCACTGCTATACTCTGACAGTGGTTCTCGACCTTCCTACACTGCAACCCTTTAATATGGTTCCCCATGGTGTAGTCCCCCTAACCATTAAATTATGTTTATTGCTACTTCATAACTGTAATTTTGCTGTTATGAATCATAATATAAATATCTGATATGCAGGATATCTGATGTGTGACCCCTGTGAATAGGTTGTTTGATGACCAACCCCCCCAGGGGTTGTGACCCACAGGTTGAGAACCTTTGCTCTATGAGGTCCCTGTGGGCTGGGTCTTCCCAAAAAACCACATCAGGGATGTTCAAAGAGCAGTTCTTCCTGCTGATGCCTCTGCTTGGAATACCCTTCTTGATTTTCCATTTGGGAAAACTGGTTCTCGAACCAGCATCAGGCCAGGCCAGTGTCTCCTGTGGGATCCCAGTCTCCTGGGACTAAACCCAATGTGGTTTCCAGATCTTGGAAAAGTGACCATGGGTATAGCCCGCCACGATGACCACTTGTTCCCACTTGTACCTCTGTCCAGGGGTGAAGAACCTCTGGGTATAATCTCAGCCTAGTGCAGAAAACACCCATTTTCTGGAGAAGCAAACTGAGGCTTGGGGGGAGGATGTTATGGTGTGTGTGGTGATGGCACAGTCTCAGCACCAGCCCTCTCTTTGCAACTCCACAGCTTCTCAGATAATCAGTTGATGAGTGAGCCTGAGGTGAGCCATTGGTGGTCCACCAGGGAACCATTTCTGATTGCTATCAGGGCAGAGACAGGGCTCCCTGACCGCGGCTCCTACCCTCAAACCACTCAAATGTCCAAGGTCCAGGGGATGAACTGGACTCAGCTCCACCCTTAGAAGCCCACAGACCCCTGCTTCAGGTAAGGTGGAATACAGAAGCCATCAAGAACCTGGTTGCCACTTCCTACCCTGCCCAGCCATCCACAAAGCCAGAGCTGCTGGAAGGTTTTATTAAGTTAGGGTGACTCATGGAACAGGAGAGATGTGTCTTCATGGGTAGCGCTAGTGGTCCACACCCAGCGCCCCTCAGAGGAGTGGAGCCGTGGGGACAGCCGTGGGCTCCTCTCTCTGTCCAGTGGTTCCCCAGTCCAGAGGCCGGGGTGTGGACCCGGCCAGGGCAGAAGTAGTTAGTAGAGGTAGGGCAGGAAGAGAGGGCTGCTCCGGCCTTTTCCCTCTGGTCAACTCACTCAGGCCCTGCTAGGGCCTTTGCGAGATGCCCAGAGTAGGAGGGAGGCCTAAGCAGGGCACCGGAGGGGAACAGGAGCCAGTGCTAGAGGTACATGCCACCAAGAATTGCCTTTTGAAGAAGTTTAAAGTGTTTTAGAAAAAAAAAAAAAAAAGGCAAAAATTCTATATAAAAATCTCTTCACATATAAAATCCTGAAGAAGGTGCAAGGTAAGACCCAGTGCGAGGGATGAGCTCAGATCCGCAGTGTGTGTCTGTGCGTGTGTACGTGTGTGTGTGTGTGTGTGTGTGTGTGTGTGTGTGTGTGTGTGTGTGTGTGTGAGGTGTGAGTGCACATGTGACCCAGGGTGGGGAGAAAGCTTGGCTTCTGACTTCTGTCCGAGAAGGAGGGTGGCTGGTCCCCTGGGGCCGGAGGGTTCTCAGCTGAGCTGGACCACAGAGACCTGGAAGGCAAGAGTGACCACTGAGCACTGGGAAGGCAGGCCTCACACTCTGGCCGGCTGGTGTGGACCAAGCCAAAGCACAGGCCAAACTGCCCACGGCTGCTGGCCCCGCAGCTGGCCAGAGCCACTTTTCCAGGCTGCTGGGGCGGCCTGACTCATGTGCCTTAGGAAGTCCAGTCTGGTCAGGTCGAGGAGGTAGACAGGCCATGTCATGTCATATCATACATCATATCGTATCGTATCCTTGCAAGCCCTCTGAAGGAGGGCATCTTTAGGGCTCTGAGGTCAGTGCTAGCTGCAGCACGAAGCTGGGGGGCTGGGGGATGACTGAATGCAAACTTCAGAATGTGCTCAGGGTCACCACTAGCCTGTGAAAGGGCAGACTACTGGGGCGGTGACCATGACAATGTTGAAGATGCAGGGCCGTGGGGTCCTGACCCAGCCATGTGTCATCACCTCGGGACAAACATGCACAGGTTGACCCAGCAGACTCTGGACTGTCTTAGGGCCATAACTACTCTTTGTAGCCACTTACAGAAAGAGAAATGGGCCAGGGGAAGGAAGTGCTGGCCCTTCAGGCTGCGTGGAAGGGACCGTGAATTTGCACTGCAGGGTCCCCACCCACCTCTACTCAGCCAAGCTGTTTCTCACAGCCTCCTTCTCCTGCAGGGCAGCCATGGCCAGGCGTAGGTGCTCCTTCAGCTGCTCGATCTCGCGCTCCGACCGGGTCTTGATGTGGTTCAGCTCCACATACACGTCCTGGTACTTCCCCGTGAAGCGCTTGTCCTAGGGCCACAGAGGAAGCACTGAGGGTCGGAGCCCGCAGCGCCCGCTCCCCGCCACACACCCACTTGGCCCCCTGCTGGTAGCACAGAAGGCCAGGATCCCCCAGTGATGGGGACTTCATTGTCCTTCCTTGTCCCATTAGAGGGGCAGCAGTTAGGGCCTGGGGAGGTGAAGCCTTTGCCCACGGTCACAATGAGTGGTAGGCTGAGCCCCAGGAGGGGCATGTCCGGGGGGCTCTGGACTTTCAGTAAGTTCTCTCTGCGCATTCTCCAAGCGCAGCCAGTGCACTGCGGACTCATATTCTCGAGTCACCATACATCCATAACTTGATGAAGGCAGGAAGGAGCCAAGGGCTGCACACGACTGAGTGGGCTTCCCAACTCCTAGCGACACTTGGAGTCAACCCACAGCCAGGCTGGGAGAGGAACCGGTTCTGTTTAAAGCTATATTCCAGGCACCTAGTAGGTGTTCAACCATAATAAAGCCAAATGACCTTGAATGCCTGAACGCAAGTGTGACCTTGGGTGAGTCACACCCCTCTCTCTTCTCAGGCTTGTCTGCAATGGGATAGTGAGTCCTACACGGAAGGCCCAAGGAGAGGAGGAGGCCAGTGGGGGCCGGCTCAGGCGGGCACCTGGAGCACACCCGGCCCACAGCTGTCGCTGCCTACCTTGTGCATCACCTGGAGCTCATCACGGAGGCACTGCACCTCCTTTTTCAGGTACTGGAGCTCATTCTCCTTGACTCGCAGCAGCACCTAGGGACACACGCGCTGGGCTGAGCCAGGACCTATAGGACCATAGGCCAAGGCTCCCCGGATCCACACTGCCCTGCAGCCTGGCACCTCCATGACTTAAAGCCCCGAGTGCAACCCCAGCTCCCACTGAGAGCCCCGGCACCCCACAGTCTACTGCCGCAGAGGCCCCTCTGCCTCTGCCTTCCTTTTCCTCACTTGTACCCCACGCATATTGTGAGTAGGACTCTCCCTGCTACATCGCTGCAACCTAACACTGTTTCGGGCCGAGGTGCTAGGGCCGAGGGGGTGACAGGAGATCTGTGACACACAGGCTGGCCCTCCTGTGACCTGTAGCTATGACACTGTGGCAGGACTACCCCCACCGAACCCTCTGAACTCTGAGGAGCAGTGCTATTGATCCGTGGGGTACATAAGCTCAGCTGGGCAGGAAAGCCTTTAAACTCCAGACTGGCCTTCTGCTGCCTGGTTCCAGCCCCAGCTTCCAGACCAATAGCTGCGGGACCTTCAGGAAGGCCATTAACCTCTGTTTCTCCATCGGGTTAACGCGGACAGTAACAGTGTGTGTCTAATGAGCTTGATGGAAGGGAAGAGACAAAGGGCTTAGAACTTCTAGGCACAGAGGCGAGCCTTACAGCAGTGGTTCTCAACCTGTGGGTCACAACCCCCTTTGAGGGTTGGACTACTCTTTTACAGGGGTCGCTTAAGACCATCATCCTACATAGCAGATATTTACATTATGATTCCTAACAGTAGCAGAATTATAGTTATAAAGTAGCAACAAAAATAATTTTATGGTTGGGGGTCACCACAATATGAGGTACTGTTTTGGGGTTTTGTTTTGTTTTTCAAGACACTGTTTCTCTGGCTGTCCTGGAACTGATTCACCACCATGCCCAGCATGAGGAACTGTTTGAAGGGTGGCAGCATTAGGAAGGTTATTGTTTGCTAATAACTGACACAAAGAGCTGGGTGACCCTGTAATCACTCACACTTTCTCCTTTCAACATCCCCCATAAGAAGAGGGCTAGCTATCCCTACCCGCTTGATTTTTTTTTTTCTTTCTGTTGTTGTTAGCTTAGTTTATTTTTGGTTTTTCGAGACAGGGTTTCTCTGTGTAGCCATGGCTGTCCTGGAACTTTCTCTGTAGACCAGGCTAGCCTTGAGTGCTGGAATCAAAGGCGTGCATCACCACTGCCTGGTTAATTATTTATTTTTTGAGACAGAGTTTCTCTTTGTAGCTCTGGCTGTCCTGGAACATGCTATGTAAACCAGGCTGGCCTTGAACTCACAGAGATCTGCCTGCCTCTACCCCTGGAGTCCTGGGATTACAGGTGTGCGCTCACAAAGGCAGCGTGACTGAGCATGGTCACACAGCAGGTGGATGACAGAACTGGATCAAACGCTAGAATTCTGACTTAGCCGAGAGGGCCCCAGAGGTCTGAGTGACATCTGCAGGTGACACCCAGCCCGTTAGGGAGCTTTCACAGGCCCTAGAGCCCGGGGCTGCCTGGCACCAGGGAGCAGAGGGGAGGGGGGGAGGGCATTTACCTCCAGCTCACAGGAGCTCCTCTCATTGCTGCGCCCGCAGCTGTTGCTGGTGCCCTGCGAGGCGATGAAGCTGCGCAGACGGTCGATCTCCTGGGACAGGTGCGAGTGCAGCTCCTGAGGGAACAGGACGGTCAGGGCGGGGGCTCAGCCCACCATTGCCTTCTCACAGCCCCCTGGGGGCCGGTCTAGCTACCTGGTTGTGGCGCAGCAGCTCCTGGCCCTCCTGCTGGCAGCGCCGGAGGGTGTGCTCACGCTCCTCTGCCTGCCGCGTCAGGGCACCGATCTCCAGGCACTTCTGCGAGTACCTCTCGGACAGCACCTGCAGCTCCTGTTTCAGAGCCTCCATGTCCAGCCTAGCCAGCACGGGAGGGGACAGAGATGGGTCACGGGGGCTCTCTTGCCACTGCTCGGCCTGGAGTCGCATCTCAACGCTGTTGGTGTTCTGGATACCTTGTGGTTAATTCAGCCCCTCGTGGCTGTGGACTGGTAATGGTCTCTCTGGGTTGCAGGGGTTTCCTCTAGAGGGTGAGCTCAGGGACTACCATTCACACTGCCATAGCCCAGGCACCCGGAACTGGTGCTGGGGCAGGGAGACACCCTAGTGGTCAAGAGCGACTCTGCAACCCAGCTCTAGGAGACACTAAAGGGGCACGCGAGGTCAGGACTGGGCACTGATGACCCCTGTGTCCTCTGCCAAGGGCCCTCAGCAAAGCCCCAGTCACATCTATCAGGGCGAACAGTAGACTCAAGAGGCTGACCCACCCCAGACCCCGCCACCATCTTACTGGTGTTGCTTCCGAAGGCCGTCCGGACCCTGCTGGAGACCCCGTGTTTTGCTCAGTTCCCGGCTCAGCTCTTCTTGATAGGCCTTCTTCATGGCTTCAATGGCTAGGAGTAGAGCAGACAGGCAGAGGGTAGGTTGGAAGGGGATCGACACAATTCCATTTGTACTGGCGCAGACGGGGCCAGAGGACTGCAAAGAGCATGGGTCCTCCTTGAAGTAACCCTGTGTGGTGGGCTCTCCTGGGGTGGTATGTCGGTATCTAACCACTGCTACCTCCTACTAGTGGTTTCTGGCCAGCCTCGCACAGTGCTCCGCGCCATCCCTGTAGAGCCCGGAAGGCCCATCCATCAAGGCCCTGCCTGGCCTGTGGTCCAGAGGTCAAGCTCTGCAGGCACTAAAAAGCCGTGTAACTGACTCAATCCCTCTGCCTCAGGACCCTTTCTGGAAGGTGCTTAACCATGGCTTCTCCTCTCCAGAGGTGACTAGAGTACGGCCTGACATGGAGAGTAAGGCCCAAGCACTGGCTCCTGCTGGCTGCTTCCAATGGGGAGCTCCCAGGAACCCACCATTTCCCCCCACACTGTGCAGGGCAGGGTGAAGAGTATGCAAGCCTCCAGCCTTAGATTTATCCACAATTCCAAAACGCAACACCTCTGAACATTGGGAGGACCTCGTTCCTCCTCGGTGGCAGTCCCTGGTGGTCTGTTATTCAACCCAGCGCCACTTCCATCAAGTTCAAGTTCACTGTGGAAACTTTGGTGCTGGATCACTGGGCAATGCCTGCATCCTGTTGGGGAAGGGCAGCTACTCTAGGCTGCCTGCTGGGTGAGTCTGTCCTAAAATGTGAACACAGCCCAAGGCTTGGCAGAAGTGACCATGTGGAGTTGAGCACAGGGAACACTTGGCCGGTATCGGCAGGATGCAAGCTCCAGGTCACCTGACCTCATTCACGACTCTGCAAAGCCAGAGGGCTGCCCAGGATATGCCCGGCACACAGCAGGTGTACAGGAGACAGAAGAGGAGGATGCGATTTGTCTGTCTCGGGTGTTTCCTGTTTGGGGCTTGGGGAGGGTGAGGCAGTTCAGGGCCCAGCTTCGCCATCAGAGTACTGGCTCTGGGCTCAAAGCCCGGCTCTCTCATTTCCACGCTGTGCCACCTGGGACAGGTCGCTAGCCTCTCTGAGGCCCGGCTTCCCCACTCCCTGGATACCACGAACACTCAGGGGCTCCCGTGAGCAATGTGTGGGGGCATAGAGAGGTACACACTGCCAGCCTAGGGAAAAGGTCACAACTATACCGTGAGCATCCCAGGGTCTGGAGCAAGTACCTGGGCAGGTGACACTCTACCAGAACAGACTGTAGCTGATGGGTGTCTTCCCCTAGCATGGAGGTGGTATGTGGCTTGAGGTACCCCTCAATGTCTACAGAACCCAAGAAAGAAAAGTCACCACCCATGAGAGGGGAGGTCTCTCTCTCTCTTTCCGTTTTTCCAGACAGGGTTTCTCTGTGTAGCTTTGCGACTTTCCTGGAACTCACTCTGTAGCCCAGGCTGGCCTCGAACTCACAGAGATCCGCCTGGCTCTGCATCCTGAGTGCTGGGATTAAAGGCGTGCGATACCACCGCCGGGCTGAGGGGAATCTCTTACGGCCTCTCTTTCTCCTTTTCAAGCTGGACCACAGATCACTTCTGGGGCTCCCAACCCCTACTGACTCCTTACCCCAACCCCTTCCTTTAGGAGCTTCCCAGTCCAATGCGGAAGCGCCAGGCCCCGCCCGCGGCACGGCCGTGGTCCTCACCCGAGGCTGTGGCTGCGGTCTCCTCGGCCAGCAGCCACTCCTTCTCTTGCTGCAGCCGCTGCAGCTCGCGCTCATGGTGCCGCTGCAGCTGCTCCATCACCTGCTGGTGTGAGGACTCCATCTCCGCCAGGCTGCGCTCACAGGCTTCCTGCGGGCCAGAGGCCAGGGAGGTCACGAGGCTGCCCCCCCCCCCCCGCCCCCCAGGCTAGAAGCCCTTCCAGGCTATGAGCTTCAGTGTAAGCCTGCCCAGGGCCAGGCTCATTACCCGGCTCTGCAATGCGACACCGTGAGTCCATACCTGCTCCCACTGCCACCCAACCCTCCTCACCCGCAAACTTCACTCGCCCCTTTTCTGCTTCAAATCTTGCAACGATTCCCCACTTGCAGGATAAAGTCTGCCTCCCACAGCCCCATCTCTGCCTAGCCCGTGGCGGCCAAGCAACCTTGGTTATAAAACCAGTTCTTGGGATGATAAAACGGCTCAGTGGGTAAAGGCACTTGCCCTGTAAGCCTGAGAATGCAAGAACTGACTCCATGAAGCTGTGTGCTGATTTCCACATGCCATGGCATGCATGTGTTCACCCCCCTCAAAAATAACAACTTGGGAAAACCAACGCTATTCTGCCTGAAGTGGGAACGCTCTACTTCCTGGGTAACTCACTTTCCCCACAGCCCATCATTTTTTAAAAAAGATTTATTTATTTATTATGTATACAGTGTTCTGCCTGCATGTCATAAGAGGGCACCAGATCTCATTATGGATGGTTGTGAACCACCATGTGGTTGCTGGGAATTGAACTCAGGACCTCTGGAAGAACAGTCAGTGCTCTTAACTTCTGAGCCATCTCTCCAGCACCCCACTCCCCTTCACAGCCCATCTTAAACACCTTTGCTAGTTCTGCCTCTGGGCAGCCTCCCAAGGTCCTGTTTCTCCGGGAACATAATAGCCTGGTGACAAGGTACACCTGACCCAGCTTAGGCCTGGGGTGCAGGCCAGGGTAAGTCACATGGCAGGGGCTTAGGAAATGAGCTGGCACTGTTGATGTCGTAAAAATGGTTTTGTAGACAAGATGGTAGGTAGTTAGAGCCGTAAAGTCTACTGTTGGAGTGCCCACTGTGCCTGATGTGTATGGGCAGATTGGTGTCACCGTCATCCTTGCTATGGAGGGTCTTGCTATGGAGCCAGGATGGCCTTGATCTCACAACATTCCTGCCTCAGCCTCCCTGAGTGCTTGGGATTACAGGCATCATTGCATTTTTTTTGCAACTCTAGCCCTTGCCTGGGCAGGTCCATTCCTAGGAACATCCCACAGGAAGTTACCTGTGTACAAAGACGAGGGGGACAAGTGGGTTCTAATCTGCAAAGGACAACAGGCAGCAGCTGGAGGGCAGAGATGCCATGTGGGCTGCTGTGGAATGAAAGCTGACTCCTGACAGTATTCCTGGGTGCAAAACAGGTCACTGCCTGCCCTGGCCCAGGTATGCAAAAACACAGAAAATGCTGGAAGGATAGTGTGGCAGGCTGAGTAACAGCTCTCCAAGGATCTCCATATATGACCTGGGACTGCCTTGAGAAGTCCATGAGAAAAGAAACTAAGGCTTCTAACCAGCTAAGACTGTCCTAGACAATCTGGTGGCCTGAGGAATGGATGGAGGGGGTGTGGGGGGGTCAGAAGACAAACATCTAGAGACATGACCAGGAGAGTGGCAGTGAGTGAAAAGCTTTGATATGAGGGTAGGGAACACAGGCTGGGAAACAGGCAAGGCTGTGGAGCCCACAGTCCCACCTGAAGCCTAGGAAAGGAGTGTGATCCAGGGCCCCCACCCCCACCCCACTTAGCCTGTGTTAGGTTTTAGCAAGATGACTGGCAAGTCTGTGTCCCTGACCCAGCTCTCGATGGTATTTGTCCCCTTGGCCACAGGAAGCTGATCCAGACATGCTCAATGGTGGGCAGAGGTACACAAGGGGTTGGTGGCAGCATCAGGGCTCATTACTTCTTACATTTTTTTTTTTAGGGGTGGGGTGCATGAATGCCACAGGACACTCGTGGAGGCCAAAGGGTCTTTCCTTCCTTCTATTATGTGGGTCCCTGGAATGGAACTCAGGTCTTCAGGTTTGGAGGCAAGTACCTTTACCCACTGAGCATCGGCGGGCTTTGTGGACTCATTTGTAACCTTTTGATTTAGATAAATTTTGCAGTGGAACCCCGAGTTGAACATGCTAGGGGAAAGTTCTACCACTGAGCTACAGCCCCAAACCATCGTTTGATTTTTTTTTTATTTTTTTAAAGACAAGGTCTTGGTCTAAGACCTTAGCCTCTAGCTAAGGCTGGCCTTGAACTTACCATCTGACCTTGAATTTACCATCTGGCCTCAGCTTCCCAAATGCTGAGATTATGCACCACCACTTGTGTTACTTTAAAAAAAAAATGTAAATGTAAATGTGGCTCTTGTATAATTTTTTTTATTAGTTTTTGATTTGTTTTGTAGACAGGGTTTCTCTGTGTATCTCTGTATGTCCTGGAACTCACTCTGTAGACCAGGCTGACCTTGAACTTACAGAGATCCGCCTGCTTCTGCCTCCCGAGTGCTGGAATTAAAGGTATGTGCTACCATTGCCAGGCAATATTTGGTTTTCTGAATCAGGGTCTCACTATGTAGCTCTGGCTGCCCTGAAATTCACTACGTAGACCAGGTTGTCTTTGAACTCATGGAGATCTGCCTGCCTCTGCCTCCGGAGTGCTGAGATTAAAGGTGTACACCATCATGCCAGGCTATGTTTCTTATATAATTAAAAAAATGTTTGGGAGCTGAAGAGACAGCTGAATGGGTAAGTTATTTTCTGTACATAGAACCTGAGTTCAGATCCTTAGCATCCACGCACCCACATAAAAACACACCAGTAACCTTAGTGCTGGGTGTGAAACAGGCAGATTCCCCAATTCACAGCAAGCGCTAGGTTCAGTGAGATACCCTGTCTGAAAAACATAAGGTATAGTAGGCCATAGTGGTACATACTTTTGATTCCAGCACTTGGGAGGCAGAGGCAGGTGGACCTCTGTGAATCTGAGATTAGTCTGTTTACATTCCAAGTTGCAGGCCAGCCAAGGGTACACAGTGAAATTTGATCTAAAAAACAAAAGAGGAAGGATGTCTAGAGAGATGGATCAGTGGTTAACACTTCCTGCTCTTCTAGGGGACCTAGGTCAGGTGGCTCACCCCTCTGGAACTTCAGCTCCAGGGGTTCTGAAACTCTTTTCTGACCTTGGTGAGTGTCCATACACACACACACACACACACACACACACACACACACACAGATTCTGATCTAAAAAAGGTAAAGAGACCGGGCAGGTATGGTGGCGCATGCCTTTAATCCTAGCACTCAGGAGGCAAGGCAGGTGGATCGCTATGAATTCCAGGATAGCCAGGGCTACACAGAGACCCTGTCTCAAAAACAAAAACAAAAACAAAAACCAACCAACCAAACAACAACAACAACAAAAGACCAAAGCAACAACAATAGCAGCAATTAACTTCTGGTCTCCACATTAGCATGCCCACACACATGTATACCACATGCACAAAGACAAAGGAAAAAAACCACATTTAAGATCACTAAAAAAGGTTGGGGCAAGCCGGGCGGTGGTGGCGCATGCCTTTAATCCCAGCACTCGGGAGGCAGAGCCAGGCGGATCTCTGTGAGTTCGAGGCCAGCCTGGGCTACCGAGTAAGTTCCAGGACAGGCGCAAAGCTACACAGAGAAACCCTGTCTCGAAAAACCAAAAAAAAAAAAAAAAAAGGTTGGGGCAGGGAAGAAACCTAAGTCACAGAAGGCCACATGAAGGAATATAGTTCCGCCCTCACCAAGACCCCACCTACTACCTCTGCAGCTATTCCTGGGACCATAGTAGGCTTATAGTGGGGAGAGGCTGAATCCAGATGTTCTGAGTGTGTTTGGGGGGTACCTGTCCTGCTGGATCTTTGCTCCTGTCCTAACTGTTCCCTTACAGAGCAGGCCACCTAGGGAGTAGAGACAGCCAACCACACTCCATCATGCTTCCCCCGTGAGCCTCAGCCTCCATCACAGAGACCTCACAAGGGCCTCCTGTGAGGCAAAGGGGCTACTGGACACAGTATTCCAAATCTGTGGAGAGCTCAGCAACAACGGGGTGAGGGCCAGCCAGGTGCCAACTGTGACCTACCTTCCTTAGTGCCCAAGATGTCTCGACACTGGCCACCTCTCTGCCACGACATCAAGGTAGAGGAAGAAGTACTGTTGACCCCTTTGCATTAGTTAGAGGGTCCTTCTACCTACTTGAGTGTTGCCACAGGCCCCACTCCCTACACAGCTGTTCTGCAGTGGTGAGCCCCCCAGCCCTGCAAGAGGGGTACCCACTCAGCCTGAGGGAACAGGCTGGAGGATTGCTTCCCGGCAGTCACCTCTCCAGGATCAGCTGAGTTTCCAACCACCTCCTCCGGTGGCTGAGAGGGACAGGTGACCTGGTCCCTCTTCTCTCTAGCACCTGCCATCCCAGCCATTACTTTTTCCTGAGCGTTTCCATCTCACCTCTTACCACCCCAGTCCTACCTGCCCCACGCCTGCCCCAACCTACTAAGATCGAGTGCTGGCAGCTTTGGAAGTGCCCCATGGGACAGAAGGGGACCAGAAAGCAAGGGCTCCAGGTTTGCCTATAGTTCAAAGGTCACACCACACTTCTGGGCCTCAGTGTTCTCACTGGCATGCTTAGGAGCCACAGCAGAGCTTTTAAATTTTCAGTGGAGTAGAACAAGCTTTTTCTCAGACGAAATCTAAAGCTGGTTCTAATAGCAAACTGAACACACACAGCTGCTCTGATCCCAGCAAGTGGACCCTCCCAGAGAGGAGTTCCCAGTTCCACTCAGTGACTCCAGGCTGTGGTACGGGCTCAGCCTGCATGCCAGGCCCCACCCAGGGCAGGACCTGACAGCACTGGGCTGTTTCCTCTCTTAGCCCAGGTAGCCCAGGATAGCCTCTCCAGTCCCCAAGTCTCCTCTGATCGCCCCACCCATAACGAAGCAGCAGCCAGCCCCTGCTAGTGTGGCGGTTCTGCCCCAGGACTCCAAGGGCTTTCTTGCCCTCCCAGACCCCAGTCACCAGGGCCCAAGGTCTCCCGTCAGACCTCTGCCAATCTGTTCTCAGGCAGCCTTGTCTTAGCCTCCTAGGCTTGGACCTTGTCCTCTCCTCACCCACTGTACTCCAAGATCACCTTGTATGTTTCTGGAAAACTCAGCATCTGCAGGAGACTCTCAGCTTGTCCTTGGGGCTTCTGCCATAGGCACCAACCGCCTTCAGCCATCTGCCATAGCCAATATCCCCACCCGCTCACCACTATAGCTCAGATCAGTTGTGACCCTCAGGGTACTTTCCAAGAACCTCCTCACGCCATGCCCCCAGGGATCCCAGCATTCCTTTCTCTTCTTGGCACTGGTATGTATGGTATAGACTATAGACAGCTGACTGCCAAATTATTTGGAATTCTGACTCAGCTGTTAAGCAAAAGTACATTCAAAAAAATTAAATATGTAGAATGAATTCACTAAAGGAGGTTGTGAAGGTTGGTGTTGATTATCAACTAGCCAGAATCTGGAGTCACCTAGGTAACAAGTCTCCAGACAACTGCGAGGGATGATTTATGGTTAGCCTCTGGCCGTGCCTGTGCGGAAAGGTCTTGATTGGTTTACCTGAGGTGGAGAGACCACCAGAAAGGAGAGCAGTACCATCACAGGCGGGGGTCCTTGCCTGCACACTATGTAACAGAGTGACTGAGCATAAGCACTCATCTCTATCTCCTGGCTGGGACGTCATAGCTGCCTCCTGTAACTACGACTTCCTGCTATGATGGACCCTGAGCCCAAACAAACCCTCTCTCTCTTAAGTGGCTTTTGTCAGGATATTTTATCATGGCCACAGAAAGTAACAAGACAAGTAGATGTCATGGCTGATACTCGACATGTGTCCACCCCCCTGCTGCGATTCATTTATATTGTGTGTGCACCCTGACCTTAAACCTGGACAGCAGAACCCCTGTGCAGCTGGTGCTGACCCATCTCAAGCTCGGGGCCTTTGGACCACAGCTTTAACATCAGCTGCAGAGGGAAGCTCACACCACGGAAATGCTCAGCGTCACCAATGGGGACTCAGTTTATTGTTTGCTACACTGTCTGGAACCGAGCAAGTCATGAGGATATGCTGGGAGCGCAGATTCAGCCTTGCACGGTGTCATGTCTAGAATGACATTTATACAGAACAAAAACGGTGAACAACTCTGACTAGAATATACTCGGTCTCAACAGAAAGCTGTCATTCAGTTCAGCAAAGGATTTGCTTACAACATTGATCTTGAGAGGTTCTGACGTCTCTTCATCTTACTCATTAGCATAAAAATATCAATCAGCACACATGAGACCCACCCGTGTATGTTAATCAGCTGTGGCCACAAGAATAAGGAGAAATCATTAAAGCACTCTGAGAAACATCCATTTCTATATGGAATTCACAATAAGAAGGATTGTACACTTTATTTATACTTTATATACTAGACAACCTTTTATAATTTATAATAAATATATGCACACACACACACACACACAATTTTTTCTGGTGAGTTAGCTGTCCAGTTGTGAGAACCAACGTCATTCCCAGACACAGACAACTGTCCCCAGGGGACAAAGTCATTTCCCAGGGGGGACGAAGTGGCCCTAGAGGGAGAAAGTCCTCCTCCCTTGCTGAGAATTGCTCTCTCAGGCAAACTCCTGAGGGCACACTGGAGGCTCCCAAGTCCCGCAGACCTCCTTGGCAGGCAGGGAAAGCCTCTCCCTGTATTTAGAGAGTGGCTCTCGGGGCCACTGGCTCCCCACTTCCCCAGTGATGCAGGGAAGAGGTCCAAGGGGCAGAGTGTCGCACGGGGACTCCCACACAGGCTCTGCAGGCAGCTGGGCCCATGCTCACATCCCACCTCTGACACCTGCAGGCTGGGGAACCTCGGGCACGTCACATACCCTCTCAGAGCTCAGTGGCCTTGTCTGTAAAATGGGCACAGTGATCATGCCCACCAGCTGTGGGGAGATTAAATGACAGGATGTGTAGCAAATGCCTGACAGGATTCTCACACACAGGAAGGGTTCCCCAAACGTGGCTGCTCTCTGAAAACACAGCAATCAGGAACCTGCCCCCACCCCACAGAGCAGTTCCTCAGCCTTACCTGTGAGATGTAGCCTGGAGGGATACGGCTGTCCTCCTGGGGTCTGGAGGCATTCTGAGGAGCTTCCCCTCGGAGACGCCATGCTTCCAGCTGGGCACGGAGAGACTGGACCTGGGACACAGGAAGACCAGGTCAGTGGGTGTCAGTGTCCTGAAATGGGGAAGGGAGCTGGTGGAAGACGAGGAGGAGCCCACAGCTACTACCTCCACACAGCTGCAGTTTCGCTGGGGTGCTCAGGCACAGCTCCGGTTGGGAGCAGGGGCAGTGGGAGTGGTACAGACAAAGACACTTGGTGGCTGGGTCCAGGATGGCTAGGTCAATGGCCCGGGTGAGCGTTGACCCAGAGATGCCAAGGTTGGGAACAGCACACTGCAGTCACAGATACCTATCATCCCATGACTGTAATGGGGGACATCCCTGCGCCTCACTTCCCATGTGTGAAAAAACGGAGTGCGGCTTAGCAGGTCAGAGGTCACGGAGGGCCAAGAGGCACCTAACAAGGCTTAGGGTGCCAAAGTCACACAGCAAAGGGCCTGCTCTCCACCTCTCCTCATGTCTCTTCCCTGCGGTTAAGGGCAGAACAAAGACAAAGCCATCTCTACGGCCTGGGGGAAACTGTCCCCTGTGAGGAGCCTGAGGGGTCAGTTGGCAGGTCAGACATAGGGTGAGCTCATCGCTGTAGGGCTGCAAGGCCAACGTCAGGCCATGCACACCGGTACCAGGGGGGCCCGATGGGGAGAGAGGCCTACCTCCTTCTCCAGGGCCTCATGGCTGTCACTCGGGGGCCCCCGCCGCTCGCTGTGGCCTTGGTTGAGCAGGGCCGTGAGTGGCACTCGCTTGTTCTCCCGCAGGGGCAGCTTTTCCAGCTCCTGCCACTTCTTTTCGATCTCCTCGCTGAGCCGGCTCTGCTGGTCATCTGTCAGGGGGGCACCGAGGCCCCTGCGAGGCCCATCCCCACTGGGCGTCTCGGGGGCCCTGCTGTCCGTGGACTCGAACCACTTGCGTCTTTCCTCAGAGCGCTGAGCCAGGTCCCGCTCCAGATCCTCCTGTTTGGTCGGGCGCTCGGGAGTAGAGCGGGACAGAGTGCGCACGCGCTGCGGGGAGCTCGGGGTCAATGGCGAGAGCTCCACGTAGTCCAGTGACTGCCGTGGTCCATCCGCTCTGCGAGGGCCACCCCGGCCGATGACCTCAGAGCCTGTCCGCTGCTCCCCTGTCTTCAGGGAGCCCTTCTGGGTGCCATAACCATGCAGCGTGTTTTCCTTATTGCAGTCTGAGAGCCTAGGACGTCAGCAGAGCCACGTCAGGGCGGGGGGAGTTTTTGCCCACTCCGGCTCAAAGAAGCGCTTTCAGAGGGGTTGCCCATATGCCAGGCTCCAGGCCAGGGACTGGACATGGACTCCAGTGAGCAAGCCGTCCTGACTAGCGGTGGAGAACTCACGCCTCCTTATTGTCAGACCCTGGGGAGACCCTAGCGAGAGCATCTGCCAGCAGATTCCCTCTTACAGTCCCAGTCACTATATCTGGATCACGGGTCGTCAAAGCCTCACGCACGTGGCATGGATGTGGGGCTCAGGGTGCAAAGCAAATGGGAGATCCTTTGCAAATGCTGATGCATGTGTTACTAAAGGCACAAAACAACAACAGAAATGTATAAGGGGCCGAAGGGCTGGCTCGGCGGTTAGGAGGTCTGGTTCCTGGAACTCACATGGCAGTTCACAACCAGGGGATCTGACACCTACCTCTGACCTCCATGGGCACTGCATGCACATGGTGCACATATGTATATACAGGCAACACACACACACAAATAAATAAATAAACTTAAAAATGCATAAGGCTAGGCAGGCCCTGGGTTTAGGGTCAGGCTCAGTGTAGGCAAGGCTGATGAGGGGAGATGCTGATACCTAAGTGAACGGAGCACAGGTTGAGACAGTGAGTGACAGTGGCAGCTCAGCTGTGTTCATTGTCCTTCAGCTCCAAACTACACTTCCCAGCATCCTCTGTAGCAATGTGATCATGTGACCACATTCGGGGGGGGGGGGGGGGGGAGACAGGTAGAAGCAACTCCCTCCAAAGAACCTCCTCAGCAATTCAGCTGTGCCCTCTGTCCTGACGACCCAGCTGTGAGCTAAGGGCTGCTGAGCTGCACGCCAGGCCTGTATTAACACTTCTAGGCCAATCCTGCAAAGCACTCCAGCCTGTAGACTAAATGGCCCCAAAGCATGTTCTGCAGGATTCACCAAGGGCCCTGGACACCTGCCTACAGAGGTGCAGACACGATATCCAGCATGTCAGGTGAGCAATTCAGATGGGAAAGCCTCTGGCCTCTGGCTGAACAACCAGGGTGTAGCCAGGCTTGGGGGCTCATGCTGCGTCCCTTGAACACCACACTTCTTTCCTTCTGCCCAGCAGCTGAGCTTCAGCTCCCCACGCACTGTAACAAACAGCCCCCGCCCCCGCCCTCTACCACGGCAGCTAGAGGGGGCCATGTGCAGAGGCCATAATACTGAGCAGCTGGAAGAGCCCTCTTTGCCTCTCAAGCCCCCTCTCTAAACCACCAAGACCTTTTCCAGCTTTTAGAATGTAAAGGACCTAATGAGACAGAAGGCTAAACCCTTAGCTCTCAATGGATTTCTGGATGGCCAAGAGCATGTACTGTTCTTTCCGAATTTCATTGCTAGAGGAACCGAGCCCCAGGAGGTATAGCTGCAGGGCCCTCAGGTGAGAACACAGAACCCCCCATTCAGGGACACAGCATCATCATTCCCTCCCCAGGGCCCAGCCCAACACATACTTGGTGACATCTGGGGCTGAAGTTGGACGCACAGTCTTCCTGAGAGCCTCAATCCAGTTCCTCCGGATGCCCGAGGTCATGGCCGACAAGGTATAAACGGCATCTTTGGTCTGCAAAGGCAATCTACATGTAACTTGCCACATGGCCAGCCCTGTGTTCCCTCCCCGTGTGGAGGTGGGCCTTCCTTCCTTCCCAGGAGGGTGTATAAGGCTGAGTGACAGAGGGTGCCTCGCTCCAGGTCTCCCTAGACACGTTAAGCATGGGCATTAGCACTGCGGCCTGGCTGAGGATGTCTGAGGGCAAAGGAGTGAGTCAGGCCAACACCTGCCCAGGGCCTGAGGTTACCCCCCACCCCCCCCCACCCCACCTCCCACACCACCCCACCCCCCGATCTGCACGCAGCCTCACATGGATCTGGAAGCCATAGTTACGCTGTACTGCGTACTCTGTGACGTCTGTGCAGGAGCGCAGGTCGATCTCGCCATCCAATTCATCTGCCTAATGCGAGAGGATCCACCATGGTCTACATGGGCCCCGAGGAGCCCCGCTCCACAGACCCCGACCATGGGTCCCAGCCCTTTCCAGGGCCCACCCACCCAGGCACCTCACCTCCTCAGCCGTGGAGTCTCTGTAATATTTGAGGCTTGAATCCGTCAGCACAAACCAATGCTTTTTCCACTGCGAAGGAGGAGATGGTGAGGGGGGGAGGGGGGAGGAAGGAGCCTGTGTGTGCTTGTCCCATCCCTTACTCCCATTCTTACAGCTGAGGGGTGGGAAGGGAGCCACAGCTCAGAATGGCAGATCTGAAGCCAGGCACACAGTGGCTACGAACTGGCCCTTCTCGCTAACTATGGCCTCTGTGGCCCAGTGGGCAACCTTTCTTTGGCTTGCTGACACCCCCATGTTACTGTTTTTGTAGCTGTTTTGAGACAGGGTCCCATGTAGCTGAGGCTGGCTTTCGATCTGCGATGTAGCCAGGATGACCAGCACATGTATGGGTACATGTGCCACAGTGTACATGTGGGTCGACTCTGCCGAGAGGTTCCCTTTCCATCACTCTTACCCTTCCTGGATTCCAGGAATCAACCGGAATCAACTCAGGTCAGCAGGCTTGCCATGGCAAGTGCTTTACCAGCTAAACTGTCTGGTTGGCCCAACCCTGAACTTCTGAGCATCCAGTCTTCACCTCCTGAGTCCTAGAATTACAGGCATGCGCCATCATGCCTGGATTATGTGATGCCGGGGGTTGAACCCAGAGGTCATGCCTGGTAGACAACGATACTATCAACTGAAGGACTCTCAGCCCATTCCAGAGCCCTCTGAAAACATCAGAGCTCAGTGTGTGCCTTCCTCCAGTGGCCATGAGGGAAGGGGCAGGGCTCTGAGAGGTCAAATGCCTAGCAAGTCAGTGACCAAGTCAGCCCAGACCTCTCAAGTCTTTTTCCACAGGCCCACTGGATTGACACAGGGTCAAGGACAAAGATCTCTCAGACAGAAGGTCTAGAAAGAAGCCTGGGGCAGGCCACCCAGTGCTGCTTCCCCATCCGCCCTGTGGGCTGGTTACACACATGTTCCACTGTGAGAGTGCGTCAGTTCACGCTCACATTTGTGATTCTGCAGTTTGAGTGTCCCTGCACTGCCTCTCAGGAGGCAAAGGTCAGGCCGCCACGCCATGTGGGAAAGGGGCAGGCCCGCAAACCTGGCACCCCACGCGCCAACCTCAGCCTCCCTCTGGGCTCTTCCCACTTTACTGGAATGGCAGCTGGGATCAGCCCACTGCCAGGATCGGTGCCCCCCCAGTCCAGTCCTCCTGGGGCTCCCCTGACACCACCAACCCTATAGATACTGTTTCTTGAGGGGTTTTTTGAGACAGGGTTTCTCTGTGTAGTTTTGGTGCCTGTCCTGGAACTCACTCGGTAGCCCAGGCTGGCCTTGAACTCACAGAGATTCACCTGGCTCTGCCTCCCGAGTGCTGGGATTAAAGGCGTGCGCCACTGCCGCCGCCCAGCTGTTCTTGTTTTTGTTCCTTAAGGACATGCTACGGTTTCTAGCATTCGAGGGTGTCGCTTTCTACTTCTTTCTGTGGTCTCCCTGAGGAAGAAGGTTTAGCACCAGCAAACCAGAGTTGGGTGTTCCCTTGCTGTGTGCCCTTCAGCTGGTGTAGCAATGTCCCCAGTCTTCAGTGTTCTGACTGCACAGTATGGAGGACAAGAAGTCCCCAGGCTTTGGGTCAGTCTGGAGGCATCCATCCCTCGTGTGTCTCTCATGGCATGTGGCACAGGATCTTGGGAACAGTTCAAAGAGGCCAGCCACTTGGAACAATCTAATCTCGGGTACCACTTGGGACCTCGACTGTCTCTGCAAAGTGGGCGGGTTCTGTGGAAAATGGTTTCTCGGCCCTCCAGGCCTACTCTGTCACTACATGCAGCAGAAGTGGGATGGAGCTCTGAGGGCCTAAGGTACCAGGGTCTAGGCCTGAGCTGCCCAAGGCATCACTTTGCCTGAAAGAGGTCTCGCTCTTGTGGGCCTGACTCCCATCTGTGCACAAGGAGCCAGGCTGGCTACACTCCCAAGGCCCTTCCAGGGTGGACATTCCAAAACCCCATGAAAGAGCATGAGTAACGGCCAGTTCTAGGCGGGGCCCATAATCCCTCTGCCCTCCAGGGACCTTGGGTAGGGAGGCCAGGAAGGGGTCACTGGCAGGGCGCCAGGCCTTGTGTGAGCCTGGAGAGCAGCCACTGAGGGACGTTGAGCAGGCAGCAGGGACAGAAGGCTGCTGGCTGCGGGGAATAAAGCGCGTGGGCAGGAAACACAATGCGATTCCCCTTGGCTCAGAGCCCTGCCCGGCATGCGGGCTGCACGCAGATCTGAGCCACAGGCACATGCAGGCGGAGTAGGCAGGGAGCCAGCTTAGCTGCCAGCCTCCAGCCTGCCTGGCAGCTGACGGAGCAGAGCTAGTGAGCAGCACTGCCTCGGATATTTCCAAGACTGGGAAGATAAGGGGTGGTGAGTTGAGCTCCCGGCAGGCAACAGAGGCCTCTGGGCCCCCTCAGCACAGTGACCTCTGTGACTCTGTTCTCCACTTTGTCCAACATTTGCATGTCCTAGACCTGGTGACTGAGGCTGTGATTTCACCAACAGAGCCCCGGGTTGGAGAGACTTTGGAGTCTGTGCTCTGTGCTCCACTCTGTACCCCAGTGTCTGGAAATCTGTACAACTCAGGGGAAGCCTTCGCCCAAGACCCTCAGACCCTTAGCTAACATTGTCATCAGGAAGGAGAGCCAAGATGCTCCTGGTGAGAGCTGGGGATCGGAGCTGGAGTGTGCATGGCAGGGAGGCTCCACTCTGTGACTTATGTGTTAAAGCTGGTGAGGAAGCTGATAGCCAGCAACCTGTCTCTCCTGAGTTCCCACGAAGCCTGGCCTCCCTTTCCCTGGACCAGAAATCCCTTTGGGGTTTTCACCTGGCCCTCACCTTTACCCCGTGCCCACCCCAAGGGCCTTTCCATAGAAGCCCTGCATCAGCCCAGCCCAACCTCTCCCCTCCAGCCCAGCCTCCTACCTCTCCAGGCTCATCCAAGATCGACATCCATCCCTTCTTGAAGTTGAGCAGATCAGGCTATAGGTGGATGAAAAGGTAAACAGTCAGACTAAGTAGGAAGGCCCACAGGGCTGCCAGGAGGGAGTGTGACAGTCATCTTGCTCTAGTCCTGTGACACTGAGGTCCTGGGAGACCAATGAAGAGGGCAGAGGACTCAGAGAACTTTCACCCAAACCAAGCAGAACCAAGCAGGCTCCCAGCCACTGAGACAGCTTTGGCCCTTTTCCCCAGCATCTTCTGAGAGCCAAGAGGTTGGGCTGAGTGGCTAAGACACACACCCAGATGTCCAAGATCCCTGGCCCCACCCAAGATGGAGAGAGAGGAGACAGAGGGAACTTTGCTTACAAAGAGAGCTCTAGGGAGTCCAGAGGGTAACCCTGAGAAACAGCCTAGCAAACGTCCAAGTTTTCTTCAACAAGACCATGGTGGACTATTCGGAACACAACCTAATGCTCTAACCCAAGCCGTTGGTTAGAGCACCCACCAATCCTGCCTTCCCTCATCTCCCCGAGACCCTGAAAGGTTGAGCCAGGCCCAGGCTGAGGGCAGATGGCCTCTTTCCCCTAGGTCTCCTTGGACAGGCCATGACACCTCAATCCTGGCTGTGCCTACCTGGCAGGTCCTACCCGGGGAGGCATAGCCCTGGAGTCTGGGGGCCCCCAGCTGCAGCATGTTCCACAGGGAGGCTGTGAGCTAGATCTCTCTGCCCAGGCCTACAGGCAGCTGCTCATCCTGACCTGCCCATCTGGAGGGTATCATCCCCCAGACCCTCCCTGTCCACTAGGGCCCTCGCCTGTCTAGATCCCTGTCCTTCGGTAGCCTCAGCTCCTGCCCACTGGAGAGAACAGGGCGGGCCAAACAGGCTGGCAGGGAGGAGGTGGCCACCTGTTGCCATGGCTCTGAGCCCACCTATCAGAGTCTGCATCAAGTGTGCCTCACCGGGCCGAGGTGTCTGGTTGCGCGAAGGGAGTCAGTGGCATAGTGCAGCAGGGTGGCGGCAGCGGGCAGCAGCTGGGAACCAGAGCCACCTGACCCGGCCATCTCTGTGGGCCTGATCTCCTCTAGAGAACCCCAGTTCCCTCAGATGGAGTAAGTGTGCTGAGAGAGCCCCAGGCCAGTCGTCTGAACACCTAGAACTACCCACAGCCATGTCTGGGGCTCCCTCACCCTGCATACCTGTTTGAGGGAGGAGGCGGGCTGTGCTCCAAGCCCGGAAGCCCTGGGGCTGTGATCGTCCTGTTTGCTTTCTATTCTGTCAAACCGTCTCCCATCTGGGACAAGGCAACCCAGGATGCTCCCCGCACTAAGACTGAAGACAGTGACCCAACCATGGCTGACTCCACTTCCCTTCAGCGTGGCCCTCCCACCCCCACAGCCCCAGGACCTGGAAGAGAGGCCTAGTCACAACGGGTCTCAGGAGAAGCAGTGTATAAATATCTTCTTGTCACAAGCTCCTGGGCTTTGGGGCAGATCTCCTGACCCCAAACTGGCCCCAAGGAGCCAAAAGTCAGGAATGGGTCTGTGGAGCTGGCACCATGAGGCTGACCCAAAAGAGAAGGCCCCCAAGGCACAGTGACAGACAGGGACCCAGAGTGCTGAATTAGAACACATGCCCGGCCCCCTCCAGGCTCTGGCTCATATGTGGCAAGTGACTGAATGTACTGCAGTCTGGACAGCTCCCAGGTGACTCCCAAGACCAGGACCAACAGAGGTGTGTCAGGTCTGGTGTGACCTAGCATGGCAACTCCAGGGAGAGAAGACCAGCAAAGTGAGTCTAATCCTTCTGGGAGGGGAACTTATGGGCAGGGTTAAAAGATCTGACAGGAGCTAGGGAGGTTCGGTAAGGGAAGCATGTGTCACACAAGCACGAGGACCTGAGTTTGGACCCCCAGCACCCACATAAAAAACTGGGTGCGATGGTATAATCCTAGTTCGGGAAGATGGAGGAGGAGTCCCGGGGTTGCTGTCAGTCAACCTAGCTAAATTAGAAAGCTCCAGATTCACCCGAGAGATCCTGTCTGCAAAATAAGGTAGACTGCAACACACCCAAAGTCAACCTCTAGCTTCCTCCAGATGTCGGGGTGCACACACACACAGGTACACACACACAGGTACACGCACGCACGCACGCACGCACGCACAAATGCACCAATAAAACTGAATCCGACAAGCCACATCCAGAAAGCCGCCACCTCCCCAGCTCCTCCGGCTCAGCTGCGTATTCTCCACCAACAAGACCAGCGTGAGGAACACCCACAGGCTCTCATGCCCTCCTCCCCAACCAGTACCACAGGTCATTCCTGCCTGTCACCTCAGCCACAGCTGCAGCCCCTTCGAAGCACATACCTTCAAAGGGACCCTTGCAGTAGGGTCATCAGATGCCTTAATCTCTCATGCCAGTCCGGCCTGCTGCCCCCTCCTACTTATTCCAACTATTCCACCACACTATGCTCACAGATCCCCAGCACATGGTGACAACCCCTCAAGTCCTTTACATCTGCCATGTCCTCAACCTGAGATACTAAGCGTCCTTCTCCACTGACCAAGCCAAGTCCCTGCTCATGCCTTCAGACCTGCCTAACAGCGTCACCCCGGGGCTCCTACGGCCCACAGTCACCTCCCACACCTCCCTGCAGGGCCCCTGTTGCATTTAGGATTGCTATAAGCACTTTAATTTTCCCACCAGGTGGGCTGATCAAGACCCAGTACATGTGGGAGGCGGGGGTGGAGGGCGGGGCGCAGGCCTTTAATCCCAGCACTCAGGAGGCAGAGGCAGCTGGATCTCTGGGAGTTCAAGGCCAGCCTGGTCTATAAAGTGAGTTCTAGGACAGCCAGGGCTGTTTCACAGAGAAACCCTGACTTGAAAAAACAAACAAGCCGGGCGGTGGTGGCGCACGCCTTTAATCCCAGCACTCGGGAGGCAAAGCCAGGCGGATCTCTGTGAGTTCGAGGCCAGCCTGGACTACCAAGTGAGTTCCAGGAAAGGCACAAAGCTACACAGAGAAACCCTGTCTCGAAAAATCAAAAAAAAAAAAAAAAAAAAAAAGAAAAAACAAACAAAAGATCCAGTACAGATGGGCTCAGAGTCTGCAGAAAAAAAAACAAAACCCTTTTAAAGGCACCAGGTACTGCTGGGGGGGTGGGGTGGGGGGGGTGCACGCCTTTGATCCCAGCACTCAGGAGGCAAAGGCAGGCGGATCTCTGTGAGTTCGAGGCCAGCCTGGTCTACAGAGCGAGATCCAGGATAGGCTCCAAAGCGACACAGAGAAACCTTGTCTCGAAAAAACAACAACAAAAAGGCACCAGGTACTGTTCGAGGGCAAGATATCAGCTGTGCACAGAGCTGTGGCCCCTGCCCTGGTGGGAGAGCTTAGGAGACAGACAGTAAACACGAAGAACAAGTATATAATCTGATGCCCGGCAGTGGCTGCAGAATGAGGCTCCTTAACAAAGACTAAGACGAAATGTGGAAGAGGCCCTGGACCAGGTCAGCCCGGATCCTCCAGCTCCCTGAAGCCTCTTAGCCAGCCCAGCCCTTGGCCACTTGCTCTGTAGAGAACACTCAGCTGGGAGCTGGGTGGGTGTGTGTCAGGGAGATGGCTGCAGACATGAGTGGAGGGTGAAGGCTAGGAGGACCTGGGACACGCTCAAGTCTGAGCGGTGCCCAGGATGAGCCCAGTGAGCACCGAGAATGGTAACCACACGCCTATTCCCTGCTCCGAACCATTCATGGCTCCCCGCTGATCCCGGCTCAGGCTGTCCTTTCTCAGACCCCTTCTCGAAGCTTTCAGCATCCCCAAGATGGCCATTAGCCTTTATCGACACACCCCCTTCCTCCGCAGTCCGTCACCATCTGACAAAGACTGGTAATCAGAGGACGACCCCCTCGGGAAGCCCCCCTCCCACCAGCTGGGATGCGCTAGCCCTCCTCCTGGCACCCCTCGTTCAGGATACAGGCACACATGCGGCGCTTAGCAGGCGCACCCTTGCTTAGCACGTGCTTCCTGGGAGTGGCAACTGTGTACATTTCTTATCTCTCCCCCAGAAAGCAAACTGAGAGGGACCAGGATATACATTTTGGCCCAGCCAAGGCCAAACTGCATCATCACCAAGGCTATACTTCACTCCTGCCCACCTCAGTTTCCCCAACTGTATGGCAGGGATGGTATCACCAACCTTAAAAGGATCAATCTGGTACTATGAAGGCATCCAGTTTAGGATCTGGCAGGCACTCAGTGGGCCAGGCAACCACCTCCCCCTAGCCCAGGACACTGACTCAACTCCTCCCCCCGACATCCCTTCTTCAATAACAGGGAAGGGGAGGCTGCTGACGCCAGGAAAGGCCAGTAGGGAGGTGGCAGGATGTGCGGAGGCCGAGGAAGTCCAGGCAACAGAGCCAGGTCATCACACACACACACACACACACACACACACACACACACACACACACACACACACACACACACACACACACACACGGAGCCCCACAGGCCACGCCCCCAGCAGCACAGCCCACCCCTCACCAGGGAAGTCCAGGCAACAGAGCCAGGTCATCACACACACACACACACACACACACACACACACACACACACACACACACACACACACACACACACACACACACACACACACGGAGCCCCACAGGCCACGCCCCCAGCAGCACAGCCCACCCCTCACCAGGCCTACCCTTGCGCATGTGCGCACACACACCCTGTTCATCCTCCTCCCAACCCCAGGAGGGTCACCAGACTCCTAGCGCCTGTCTGGGGCACTAGGCAGAAACCAAAAGCAGCCCCACCCCTCCATTCCAGAACATCATGGCCAGGTGGTCAGACCGACCTGGAAAAGAGGCTGTGTCTTCTTTTACACTCAGGACACCCCGCCAGCGCCCCTCCCCAAGCCTCAATTCACTTGGCTGTGAAATGGGGAGAGCAGTGCTCTCCACTGTGAGATTTCGATAGGATCATCAGGGCACAGCCATTGATTGACAAATCTTGGTAGAGCCCACCTCCAAGAGAAACTGAAACTTCTGACTCCGCCCAAGGCCCCAGCGCCCAACGCTGTGAGAACTCAGTTTCAGCTGCCCCAGGAGGGGGGGGTCTCCCAACCGTGGGGGTGGGCGGGGCCGGACCCCCCAAACTCTGGCTGGAGCCCACATGGGCTGGACAGCCATCACAGCCCAGGTCAGGTCAGTGCGACCCATCCAAGGCCCGGAGCACCTCTCCCCAGGCCCAAGCCAGGAAGCCTGTGGGGGAGTCGGACTTCCACCAAGGGGGCTGGCAGGCGGCGGGGAAAGTGTCGCCCTGAGTCTGTCAGTGACTAGTGCCCTCAACCGCACGCACGGGCTCCGCGGGCGGGGGGAGGAGGGCAGGGGACCAGGGGGACAGGTCTGGATCGAGCTGCCCCGCACTCAGCTCCCGGCCTCTCCGGGTCCCAGCTGGGGCCACTCACCGTCATGGCGGCGCCCGGGGACGCTGCTGGGGACTCTCGGGCCGGGCTCCGCGGCGCACCCAGCCCGCCGCCCCTCTCGGCCGCCGGCCGCTTCAGCTCCAGCCCTTCCCTTCCCCGGAGCTGCCCCGGCCCCTTCCATCCGCCCATAAAACTTTTTTTTTTTTTTTTTCAAACTTCCTGGGAGGACCCGGGAGGGCCAATGGGAGGCCTGGAAGCCGGGGCAAACCGCGGCGGGGGCGGCGAGAGGACCAATGGGAGCGAGGGCCGGGTCGGGGGGCGGGGCCTGCGCGACGGGGCGGGCGGATGGGGCGGCGGCGGGCCGGGAGGGCCGGGCTCCGGCCGGCCGCTTGCAGGAAGGAAGGGCCAGCGTGCAGGTGACTCTGCGGGCAACAGCGCAGGGGCGGGGCAGTCCGAGCTCGCGGCTGGGGCGGAGAACCTGAGTCGTCTCACCCCCACCCCCCTCCACATCGCCCCAATGTTGGATGCACCCGGCCTCGGTGCCTAGGTTGCAAGGCGATCGGAGTACAGCGCCCAGTACTGACGACTCGGGGAGCCCCACGCGTTTTCTGCCGAGTCGGCATTCGTACTCCCCACAGACCTGAGAAGGGGGCTCATTTGTTGCCGTTTTACCCAGGAGAACCCAGTGGTTCAAAGTTGTTGGACCTACTTGCCCTAGGTCTCACGGGGTGGGGCTGAGGGCGAGAGAAATGGGACAGAGAGAATTCTAGCACGTAAGCTGCGCACAAGATGAGTTCTGGAGTGGTAGAGAGAAAGAGAAAGCTTCCTCGAAATCTCCCAAGTGGGGCTTTCCGTTAAGAAGTGCTGGGTTCCCGGGTGTGGGTGTGCACCTGTTGCTCATGGTCCCAGCTCCCTTATCAATGTGTCGTCATATTTTCTTTGCCTGTGGAAGCTCATCGTGGCCCTCCAGGTAAGGAGGGAATTGGTTGCTGAATGCACCGGAAGCTTGTGTGGCTTGAGCAAGGTGCTTGAGTACTCTGCCTCAATCTCACACTGGGTAAAATGAGTTGATGCAATGACCCATGAGCGTTAACCGAGTCAAGAAACTAGAATAACTTCTCTAGTTAGCTGCTCTTAGGTGTGGGCCAGGGAGCCTGGATTACTTGCAGTTGCAGATACTCTGCTAACATGATTTGGAGTTCAAAAGCATTCTCTTGCTGGGTATACTGGCTAAGAGGGTGAGGCAGGAGGATCAAGAGTTCCAATCCAGCCTGGGCAACATATGTAATTCTAGGCTAGCCTGAGCTTGAGCTACATAGCAAGACCCTGTCCAAAAAAAAACAAAAACAAACAAACAAACCATGAGAGTGTACCCCTCCCTATAATTGAAGGCTAGACTGATCTACATATCAAGATCCTGCCTCACAAATAAAGAAATAAATGTGTATCGTATCCTGTACTTACTATAGTGCTCCGATTCTTTGCCCATTTCACAGATAGGGATTCAGAGGCCCAGCAAGCTGAGTTTTTTTTTTTCCCCCAGCATCTCTGTTGAAGTCTCCTCACAACACACAAATCCACACGTTAAGTTCACTTGCTCCAGACACTGGCCTTTTGCTACCCATATGCTTCCCACCCTCCCCCTGCACTCCCCAAAGGTTGTCAGCCCTTGGAAATGGAGTAAGAAGAAGAAACCCCCTACCACCGGGTGCCTGGGCACAGCAAGCACCAGCCTCCTGGCTCCTGGCCACTGAGAGTCACCTTCTGGTAACCTCAACCCAGGGACCAGAGTGATGGTGATCAGCTCCGCACACTGGATTCTGCCCAGGCAGCTTCCCTTATAACCTGCCTGGGACTGCACTAAATTTTATACATGCCTCTTCCATATGAAGGGCACAATGCTGGACTCCTGGAATTCTCTGGGAGGGCTGACCTTTGTACTCTAGACTACTGTGTCTGGAACACTTCCCTTCCTGCCTGTGTAAGCACATGTATACACACACACACACACACACACACACACACACACACACACACACACACACGAGAGTTTTCTCTCCTACTACCCCACAAAAAGTAAACAGCCATGTATTGCAGACTTAGAACCTCACTGTCCAATGCCTGCATTCCTCACCCAATGCTCCTTTCATCTTTCCCAGCAGGGTCAGGGACATGGCTACATGATACAGCCTGGCACACACACACACACAAAATGGTTTTTCCCTGTACTCTCTACATCTGACCCCTCCATCCGGTGCTCCTTGCTTCTGACCCGATTCCTTGCCCATATCTCCTTATGCCCATCCGTTTTCCCAATACTCCCTAGATCTGTCTCCCTACAACTTGCTCCTCACTCGGTGCTCCCGATATGTGACTCCATGCCCCATGCTCCCTGAATCCATATCTTTGTCAAGGGCTCCCTGTATCTGACCCCTTGTTAATGTTCCCTGCATCTATCTGCCTGTCCCTCTGCCACAGTGTCAAATTACCCAGGTGCCTGTCACGGTATTTGCCTCTATGTGCCCCCTGTGGGCAGTAATGGAGCATGTCTTTCTCTGTCTTGGAGGCCAGCCCAGGGCCTTAGCCTACAGTATACCCTCAGTAAACATTGGTTAACTGAATGAATATACAAATGAAGTGATCACAGCTCACCCTAGCCCAAGAGAGATGCAGAGCTTCAGGGGCCTGGAAGTGACTCCTGCTGGCCAAGACTGGAGCCACCACACTTCAGGGATATTCAGCATCATGTTTCTACTGAGAACTCTAAGGTAAGGTTCAGGGAAGAAGCCACACAGCCTGGTACGGGCAGAGATAGAATTCTGGCCGGTTTTCTGGCTCTTTAGCAATCCTCAGAGAGGCCCCAGGCAGTTCGGTCTCTGGTACTTACAATTCTAGTCCCCAGATAAAAAGAGCATTGCCCCAGACTCGCCAAGCCCCAGCTGCCACACGTCTGGTAGAGAACCAAGGACTGCCAGGAAGCTCTGGGAGATCAGCAACACAGGGGTGCGTTTGTAAGTATTCAGTGCTCAGACCAGCCAGAACAGGGTTTGCATCTCAGACGCACCCATGTGTGACATGGGACAAGAGACTTCACCTCCTCATTAGCATGTGGAAAACATGAATCTAATCGTCCTTGAGAAGAGGACCAAACACAGTCAGGCACGTCTTTCGTGGGACCTGGGGTGGGGAGTATGGTAGGTACACAACAATTGTGGTGATGTAGAGAAGGCACAGACATGGTAGTCTAGGGTACAAAGGTCTGCCCTTCCGGGGGATTCCTGGAGTCCAGAGCACATCTATTATCATAAGCCCACTTCTCTCACCCTCTCTCCACCAAGGCCTTCCCTGCTACTCCTCCCGTCCCGGCCCTGCTGTGTGTTGGTGACCTTTAGTTAGGTTGATAAGGCAAATCCTGCCCATGGCTCGAAGGACCACAACACCCAGATAGCCATGTTTGCTTGGCTGCCTTGGGTGCCCCTGCCTGCAGGGCATGGCAGGGAGGGATCCTTGACACAGATGGGAAGCAGGACTCGGGCAGTCCTCCTCCCCCAGCCTCTGGGCATCCCAAGCTTCTGGTACCTTCCCCTCAGCCCTGGACAGCTCCATCAATCATCCCAGCTGATAGATGTGACAGACAGATATGCTATCCAGTGCTCTAACTTCCTCTGGAACTCTGTCACTTGGGACCGTGCAAAAACCAGCCCTGCGATGTCCTGGCTGTCAGCTCATTTCTGTGAGCCTCAGTGCCCACCTCTGTCAAATAGGCATGTGCCTCCAAGGGCCCTGCAGTGTCAGGGCCCAGCACCGACAGGAAAGTACAGGGGTCCCCCAGTTCCTGACACAGTTAACCCCCCAAACCAGCCCTTGGTTGCTTCTTGCCCGCTGGGAGGGGACAAGTCATAGCTACCTCCTCTCCCTGCCCTGGAGGAAGCCCCGACCAGAGGCCCCAGTGTTTACAGGCCTCTCTGGGCAGGAGATGGGTTACGTAAGGCCAGATGTTTGTGAAACTGGCCTGGGCCCAGGTCTGAGACACACTCTGTAATCCAGAGCCCCTTGAGGCCCTCCTCCTTCATCCCTCCCACCACCTGGCTCCCTGGCCCAGGCCAGCAGTTGCTGATTGGAGATTACCCAAAAGTCCTTCATCCTAAAAGCTTTCAGGATCAGTGCCCTGCAGGAGAGGCAGAAAAGCCCACCTTCCAGAGCCTGACAGAGCTTTGTAGCATCCTCTCCTTCCATGGGGTTCCCCCACCCCTCCCTTTCAGCCCCCATTCTTTCTTGGCTAGCCCCAGTCTCCTCCCCACTTCCCTTCTCTATCCACCCTCTCCCCTCCAATCCCTCAGGAGCCAGCCTACCCTTTGCCACCTGAGGACCCCCAGAGACAGCAGGTATGGATTGAACAGCGCGGGCCGGTCCCCGGGCATCCGCCATGATGTCACCAGTCGGCCCTTGAGTGGGCTCCCAGCCTTGCCCTCTGCTGGCCTCTTGTCTGCCTGTCAAACAGGGTCCAGTGTTGGCTGTAGGTCCCTTTGGTGGGATGGGGCATCCCTGGCCACAGCCTCCCCTGACCATTCTGCTACTGCAAAGGCCCGGAGCTCCCACCTACCTCCCCCATCAGAGCTACAAAGGAAAAAACAAAAACAAAAACAAAACAAAACAAAACTGGTTGTCTTGCTCACACTACATAGTGTTTGAGCAACACGGTCTCTAGGACTCCACACATCCTTGGAATTTGTGTCCAAAAGCCTAGGTCAAACTACCAAGGAGAGGGGTACAGGTCACAGACATTTAGCTCACACGGTGCACGTCCATCATCTTGCATCTGGTTCTAACATTAATAACCAAGAAGTTTGGGCCAAGTGTGGTAGTGCACACTTGTAATCCCAGCGCTTCAGAGGTGGAGCCAGGAGGATCAGAGCTCGAGACTAGTTTCAGCAACATAGCAAGTTCGAGGCCAGCCTGGTCCACAGAGTGAGTTCCAGGACAGCTAGGGCTACACAGAGAAACTGTCTTGAAAAATCTGAAAGCTATGGAGATTCTACGTCCACTGTACGCTCAGCAGCAACCACTTGGGGACATGGGGGTCACACATGTGACCCCCAACTCCTGTTCTTAGCACCTTTTTACCTGCCTGGATCTTGGGGCATTAACATGAAAGGAATGAGTCACAGACTTAATACAGATGCCTATCGCATAGCCCTAGAGCTTCCATTTTGAAGTCATCTTTGTTGGGGCAACTGAGTCACCAGCAAAGCGGAGGGACCGGCCCAAAGCCACACTGCAGGTTGGGGCGGGGGGGGGGGGGGGGGGGCAGAACTTCCCTGTCCTCTGGCTGGAATCTACAAGTCTCTAGAAGCGGAGTTTGAAACATCAGAGCACAGTACCTGAGAGCATTTAGGAAAGGAGTGCTCCCCATGATCACACCCCATCACAGCCCACAGCCCTGACCACCACATGACACCACTCTGGCTCACCTCAACTCATCCCACCACACAGAAGGTGTTCGCTAAGTGTTCTGAGTAGGAATGAGTGAGTGAGTGAATGAATGAGGTATTAACATTTCTGTTCAGTAGAGGTGGCCTGGTGTGTGTGTGTGTGTGTGTGTGTGTGTGTGTGTGTGTGTGTGTGTGTGTGGCAGTGGGGAGAGGCTTTCCATATTGCTAATTTCCTCTTTGCTCACAAAGGCCAGGCCCCAGGAAGCATGAAGAAATCAGCCCCAAAGAGGAAGAGTGAGTTGTCAGCCCCCGCCCCCCCCGTTAGTGATGGGAGTCCTCTGTCCCCTCCCCATTTCACAGAAGGGGAGACTGGCCACCCAGCAGGTAGAGGCACATAGAGAGGACAGAACCAGGAAGCAACTTGGACAGAGGCGGGGATGGGGAGTAGAGGGAGCCCTGTTGTGGAATGTTAGTTTAGCTGGGCAAAGATGTGTTACATTTGTTTATGCTGCATTTGTTTAATTATGTAAAGATGTGTTACATTTGTTTATGCTGCAGAACATTACTTGAACTGTGTAAAGGTGTGTTACTTTTGTTTATGCTGCATTTGTTTAATGATGTAAGGATGTATGTGTGTGATTATGTAAAGATGGGTTGCATTTGCTTCAGCTGACCTGCCTAAGGCACCTGATTGGTCTAATAAAGAGCTGAATGGCCAATAGCTAGGCAGGAGAGGGATAAATGAGGCTGGTGGGCAGAGAGGATAAATAGGAGGAGAAATCTGGGCTCGAGAGAGGGAAGAACAAGAGAAGAAGGAGGAGAGAATGAGGGACACGCCCATCTGGGCCAGAAGCCAGCCAGAAGCAGTGAAAGTAAGACACACAGAAGGAAGACGGGTAATAAGCCCAGAGGCAAAAGGTAGATAAAGAGAAACAGGTTAATTTGAAAGAGCTAGGCAGAAATGTGCTAGGCCGAGTATTCAAAACTAATAACAAGTCCCTGTGTCATGATTTGGGAGCTGGTTGGTGACCCTAAAAGAAAAAGCCCGGTACAGAGCCCCAGCTAGGCGACCAGAGTCCTGGGTTCTATTTGGGTCCAGCCACACACTGGCTGTTTCCTGGTCTGCACAAATGGGTTGGACAGAATACGCCTCTCCCCAGCTATGACCAGTGGCCGGGCCAGACTCAGGTGGCCCGTCACCTCTGGCTTTTCAGGAGGCAGTCCAGAGGACCGTGGGGAAGAGAAAAGCGTAACCAGAGTCTCCTGGCTTGTGCTGCCTGCCTGCTGTCTGCCTCTGCCTCCGCCTCTGCCTCCGCCTCCGCCTCTGCCCTCCAGAGGTTTCTGGTGAGAAAGGTCTGTTTGCAAGTTACAGAGAGGTGCGGCAACAGCCAGGCCCCAGGCAGCCCCCTGTGCCACCCCTGGCATATCGCTCCAGTCTCCAGGACCCTGGAGAGCCTCCACGGCCTTCGGGGCTGCAGCCGCACCTCCTTTGACCCACTTTACTACTCTTGACCCCAGCTCCAGGAAGCATGGCCCAGCCCCACCCAGGAAGCCTGGCCCAGCCCTCTAGACCCAAAAGAACATTGCCCTCAGGAACTATTGGGGCCAAGTTGCCATTTGCTCAGGGAAAGACGGTGTGCCAGTAAGTCAGAAGCAGAACTCTGACCCCAGGACTATCCCCACCGAGGTTCCCATGCGATGGGTGGTTCTGCTCACCACCTCCTCCTACGTTTCTCTTCTCAAAGCCCCATCGCAGAGCCAGCCTGGGTCTGGATGGCTCCAGAGCTCTTTGGAGGAGCTCATCCCACCTCCAGCCTGATTTCCTTTCCTTTCCCCTCCCCATGTGCCCAAGCCTAGGACCCAACTACCGAGTCAGCCTGCTTCTGGTCATCCAGTGACTCTTCGACTCTGCTCGGTTCTGACGCCTCAGGCTCCTCTGCCTGGAACTGAAGATAAGAAAGAATACAGCTTAGCCTAGCTCATCCCGCATGATTCACCCATCCATCCACCTTCTAAATTCTCCGGTTATTTTCTGTGCATCCAACATCACTGGATCCATGTTGCCAGCCCAACCAGCCCACATCTACCCTATACTGTCCTCATGTCACCCACTGCACATCACCACCCGTCACCCAGTCTACTCCCACCCTTCATTTAGTCATTATCTAGCCATCCATCTACCATCATGCATCCTCCTATCCATTCGCCCATCTCTCTATCCTTCCGGCGGTCACTCACCATCGATGGAACATGTATTCATCCATGTTATATCCATCCATCATCTTCCACTTAATGTTTACCCACCCAACCATATACTCAAACATCACCGAATAACCACCACTATCCATCACCAGCACACCCACCCATCCACCAAACCCCATCCCCGTCTACCTAACACCCACCATCATTCATTCAGCCATCTTTCCCTCATTGCCCACCCATCACCTAGCTACTGTCCCATCCAATTGCTCTCGGGGACAATGAAGCATTCGTGGATTCATGGATTTGCCATCCACTGAGTAGAACACCTCCTCTCTATCAGGCCTTGGGCTGAGAGACAGAGGTACAGAGATAAAGTGATCACAGCCCCTCCCCCTGTGGAGCTCATGTTTGCTTGTTTTACGATGCTAGAGGTTGAACCCAGGGCTTTGGGCATGCTATGCAGGTGCTCTACCACTGAGCCACATCCCTAGTCAGTGCCCATGATTCTAAGGGGAAGTGAATATCCGACGTGACTGATGGATGGAAGCCAAACTGTGAGGCCCAGAAGGGGACCGTCAGCAGCCCTGGGGTGGGGTCAGTATTGGAGGACAGAACATTAATGACCAGACATTTGGTAGGTGACAAGGGAGATGGAGTCATCCTCAGCAACAGGAACAGTATGTGCAAGAACATACGCAGAGTCCTCCATCCAGCTCCGCACAGTGAGAGGAAAGTATGGGGAGGAAGAAGAGGAAGGAGCCTTGAATGATATGGCAAGGACCTTCACTAGAGAAGTACCCGGAGGCCCACAGGACCTGTGAGCTCTCTGCTCTGTCATCCGTGAGATGTCCTTCATGCTGGATTGACACATGCATGACACACGGTGTTTCTATAGAGCTGCAGCCAGAGTGCGGCCACCCCTGTCCCCCATCAACGCTCTGGGCTTGGAGACATCACCGAGTACAGCCCTGGATCCATCCTGGCTACTACACTTACCCAGTGAGCACTTTGCAGTCTTCTCCCTGCCTGAGCTACTGAAGTGGCCAGAGGTTCTTCATCCCTCTGGTCATCCTTCCATCCCTCCATCCCCCCTAGTCTCCAAGGGATCCTGAGCCTCAAGTAGAGGAACCCCAATCTTTCTGACCTCCCACCTCCCTTGTGACAAGTCAGACTGCAGCAAGCCAGCGGCCACTGGAGGACAGCATTGCATCCCCACCCCGACCCCTCTGCTGAGCATCGGGCAATCGCCCTGCCTCCCCATAGCCTGATGGCAATTTAAGGGTAGGGCCATGTCATCTGACCCTGCATCCCTGGTGTCCTGGTGCTGAATTTGATAGTTAACTGAGAACAGCCACAGGGTGCTGGGGGAGAGGGACTCACAGTGCACTAAGCACAGGCTTGGGTACTTTAATAGCATTTATCAAAACTCCCACAGGTATGGTCCCTGAGTACGGGTCTTAGGTTCATCATCTATAACCTGGGGACAGCAGCAGCTGCCTCTTCACCGTGCATGGCACATGTGGCCTAGCACACTGCCTGTGACCTGGTGACACCACTGCCAGATGCTGTCAGGGGGCGGGGTGCACATAACTTGGAACAGTGGCCTTTGCTGGACACCGACTTACCGCCAGGTCTGGTGGGCTGTGGCTCCCTAGGTGACCTGTCTGCTCCAGAGCAGCCAGAGTTGATGTTTCTGGTTCACTTGTCACTTTGGTTGTTGGCCACTGGGTGGAGGTACAGACAGGGCTGGGTAGCTGTGCTGGGCTCTCGGACTGCTGCCCAAGGCTGTGCCCATTGGCTTGGGTGGCCTTGGCCCATCCTTCAGGCTGGGTCTGCGGCTCTGTCTTCAGGGTGTCCTCTGTTCCCGGGGAGCCCAGCTCTGGTCCTGAAGCCCTGGCTGGGTCATGCCAGTGCCCAGCTGGGTCCTTTTGGGGCAGCCGAGCCTGCAGGAGCTCCAGCAGGCCTTCCCAGTCCAGCCTTGGGAGCCGGGCCCAGGCCCCATCCTCAGGTGCCCGGAGAAGGCCCAGCAGGTCCCTCCAGTCGAGGTCGGGTGGCTTCTCAGGACTATACTGATGTGGGGATGCTCCCTCAGCCCTCCAGCCCATACCAGTGGTGCCCTCAGGCTGCCGGGCACACGAGCATTCTGCTGGGCCTGCCCAGGAGTTGTCTGGGGGGGTTGTAGGCTGGTGAGGCCTGGACAACTCCTGAAGGCCCCTTGGGGGGCCCCCCTGTAGCCCATTACTGGGAGGCTGCTCCCAGGCCTCTGACTGTCCCCACCTTTCCCTGTGCTCCTGGGGAGGGCCCCTCCATATCCCCTCCAGGCTGGGACTCCCAAGTTCTGGCCAGCCCCCCAGTCCTGGACCCTCCTCCTGGCTTCCCCAGTTCTTCTCTGGGTGTCTGCTAGGACCCTGGGGCCCTGACAGCTCCTCCTGACTCGGCCACCCTCCCGGAGGCTGCCTCAGGCCAGTGCAGTCACTCTCTAGCTGTGTCTCTATCTGAGCCTTCCTCTCGGGGGGCCGGGCTGATGTCTTGGCAGGTGCTGAGGGCCTCTGGGGCCGCCGGTCTCCCTCAGGCCGCTTCTCGGGACTCTTAGGATGCGGGGGTTCTGTTCGGCTCCGCCGGGCTGGCTCTGCCTGTTTGGCAGAGGGCTTGGTCACCTGTGGATGACGTGAAGGGGTGGGTGAGGCTCCGGACTGCACTGGGTAGCGGCTGTCTGCTTTAGCCAAGCCCCAGAAGGAGGGAGGCTAGGAGGTGAGGCTGTGTCTTCCTAGAAGCCTAGGCCAAAGCAGGTGGAGAGCCGCGGCTCTCTCTACGGTGCATGCTTCTCTCTTCTCACCCAGTTTTCTCGGTTCCAGAAAGAGATCTGCAGAGAGCTGCTTACTTTCCGGGCTCCCCTCCCTAAGATAGTCTTTCCAGCCTTAGCTATCAGGTGCCCGAATTTCCACCATGGCTAACTGTGCCATTGGGGTGTGCCTGGTCCTCTAAGTTTCATTTGAGATCCAATCCCTATGCTGGACGAGGCGGCCCCCGATGCACCCGGGCTCCCTGAGATCTCAAGATAGCAGATGCCTCCATGGGAACAGCTCCGAGGGGCTGTCTTCAAAGGATCTGTATGGAGTCCTTCACATCTTGGCAAGAGCCTCTGGCCCTTGGAGAGAGTGCAGTATGATCCCACGCTGGGGCCCTGCCCTTCTCACAGAGGACCTCCCTGCCCAGGACACCTGCCCGGAACCCAGGGTGTGGGGAGAGGCAGTGTCCACTCATGAGGGCTGGTGGCTAGCAGAGCTCACCTGCCTGCTGGGGGTGGGGCTGGACTGTCTTCGAAGTTGGCTCTGACCTTGGCTGGGCCGCTGTGACCGTCCCTCATCCCGAGCCTGGAAGGCCCCCGGTGCTTCCGACTTCCTAAGAGTAAATGTAGCTGTTCCAGAGGGCCTTTGGGACTCCGTTCCAGCACCCAGCATTCCCAGCCCACCCCAGAGAAGAGACTCATTGAAAGCCCAAAGAGAGGATGACCCTCTCAAGGCCTCAGTTTCCCCTTCTGGAAAATGGGGGCAGTTAGCACCATCTTATAAGGCCATGAAGACACAAGAGGGTGAAAGCAGCGGGGTGGGGAGGAGGCAGCTCTTGGCCATGGCTCCCTCCCTCCTCCTTCAGCACTTCCTATTACCCACCAGCCACCCCTGACAAGGGTTAGACTGGGCCTTGTGGGAACTCAGATTTATTGAGCATCTATTGTGTACCAGGCACTGAGCAGAAAATAATCACAATGTTTAAGAAAATATTTATTGAGCACTTCCTCTGTTCTGGAGGCCAAGCGTTCGTGTGCCAAGTCCCACTTAACCTTGCACAGCCTGCTCCGGGGACAAGAGAGGGGAACGTTAGGTGCCTCGCTTTCCATTCTTTCTGCCCTTTCCCCATCCACATGCAAAGTGAGGACTCCTCAAGCCAGCTGCCTTCCGTGTTCCTCTCAGAGCTCACAGAACTCCAGCACTCAGCTTCGAAAACCCTTCTAGCCATTGGTGAAAGAGCGCCTAGCCAGGTGGCCACAAAGAGACATTCTCTCCAACTCAACAATCCAGAAAGGTCACCAGCAAATGTCACCATAGCCAACAGAGATCACCTTCAGCCTGTGCCAAAATCCCCGGCTTGTGTGGGTTCACAATGAGTGGCCAGGGCCCGGCGGCAGTGGTGGCGCACGCCTTTAATCCCAGCACTCAGGAGGCAGAGCCAGGTGGATCTCTGTGAGTTCGAGGCCAGCCTGGGCTACCAAGTGAGTTCCAGGAAAGGCACCAAAGCTACACAGAGAAACCCTGTCTCGGAAAAAAAAAAAAAAAAAAAAAAAAGTGGTCGTGCTTATATTCAGCATGGTATCACCATTATAAAGCTAACAGTCTCTGGGGGCAGTGTGTGTCCTCTCTCCTAGTAAAGGACAAAAGACTCGGCCTCCATGAACAGATACCTCCTGTGGGGTCTGACTACTGGACTTCATCTAAACTGGTCATGGTATGTGAGAGACCATAGGGTCCATCCCCAGCACAGCAAAAATAAGTAAAATACATGAGTCAGTGGGGCCATGGCTGGTAGCTGAGCAGAACCAGGAAGGAGAAACCTTTTCAGCCAGCCCAGGGTGAGTCCCCAAAGGATACCGAGGGGGACTGTGCAGGTGTCTGTGGGGACTGTCTCTAAAGTCTGCCCACAGCTGAAGAACCATGAAGAACACTGTAGAGGTCTGCAGAAGGAATGGAGCGTGGGTGGTGATGACGCCGGCGATCCTAGCACTCAGGAGGTGGGGCAGGGAGGCCAGGGGTTCAAGGGCATCACTGACTACATGGAGAGCTGGAGACCAGCCTGGGCTACATGAGACCCTGTCTCAGACCAACGGAAAATGTGGCATCAGGCTTTGCTGTTGTCCTGTGGCCTCTACTGATGTCCTTAGAATTAGATCTGGAAGCTGTTGGAGTCCTTAGCTGTCCTAAGGTCCCTGGATTCTAAGCTTGAGGGCTCCCTGGATGAGGCTCCGTTTTTCCCCCTGAGACAGGGTTTCTTTGTGTAGCCTTGGCTGTCCTGAAACTTGCTCTGTAGACCAGGCTGGCCTTGAACTCAGAGATCTGCCTGCCTCTGCTTCCCAAGTGTTGGGATTAAAGGTGTGCACCACACCCAGGCGAGGCTCCATTTAAAATCAAATTTGAGGCCTTTGAACAAGTTTCCCCCAGAACTGAGGTCTAGGGGCTTCAATGAAAGTCCCAAAATTCAAAGTCCCAAACATGATGGGGACCTAGTAGGGAAGCACAAATGTTTGGTCTCTTTCAAACATGCAGTCTCCATACAAATTCCAGCCTCCTCAATGGTCATTCCTTCCAATACATCTTCCCCTATTCCTCATAAGCTTTGAAAGACAGGACTGAAGAACTCTAGAAGATTCTGAGCCCCACGCCATGGGAACCCAGCTCTTCTGCAACAGGACCCACCCAGAGTCACCTGTCCCCAAGGGTTGATGTGGCTGCACCGTGGATGACCAAGGAAATAAATTTCCTCTGGATACTTGGATGAGTGTAGGGTCTCCAAATGGTGTCAAAGAGCCAACAGAACAGAATGGCACACACCTTTAATCCCAGCACTGGGAGACAAAGGCAAGTGGATCTCTCTATGAGTTCCAGGCTAGCCTGGTCTACATAGCAAGTTCCAAGCCAACAAGGGCTATATAGTGAGACCCTGTTTAAAAACAAAACAAAACAAAGACACCATGTTTAGCAGATCCAAGGAAGACTGTTTCAAAATTCAGGCATTTAAGGGGATGGGGGTAGGGGAATGGCCAAAACACCAGACAAATGCCTAAGTCTTTGACATGATCCTTCTAGAAAAATGTCCCAGACTTAGAACAATGCTTGGGCAAAGTAGATGCTCAATAAATATCTGTCAGAGGAGTAAATGGGAGACAATGAAAATACAACCCTGCACACCCCCATCCCCCAGCCTCATAAATTCTGCCTCTTATGAAAATACATGCTGTCCTCAGAGGGCAGATGGTATTCCACCTGGAAAAGTACTAGATAGGGAAAATACTCCAAAGTTATAAAACTGAGATGGGAAGACAATATTCTAGGACAGTGAACAGAATTAACTGTGCAAGCCCAGTGTGGTGCCGTACGCCTATAATCCCCGCACTCAGGAACCTGGGGCAGGACCTAGAGTCCAAGGCCAGCCTGGGCTACATAGCAAAACCCTATTTCAAAAGTGAGTAACTACGAGAGAGAATATTTATGTGTAGACTTATTTGTGAACTCTATTGCAGAGCCAGCATGGCGTACTCCTGTACACCTAGCACTTGGGAGAGGGAGGCAGGAAGATCAGGAATTCAAGGTCATCCTCGGCTACCCAGTGACTTCAGTTCCAACCTGGGCTGCAACGAGACCCTGTCTCAAACCCATTTCTCCCCTAAAAAATGGTTTTCCTTTTTGTAAAGACCAAAGAGAGAAATACACTAGTGTGGGGGTCAACAAAGGTTCTCGGATAGTGAACTGAACGGATACAGTTTACTGAAATGGTCATTTGAATAAGAAATAAGACTTCTCACTGGGCAGTGGCTCATGCCTTTAATCCCAGCAGGGAGGCAAAGGCAGGCGGATCTCTGTGATCCAGGCCAGCCTGGTCTACAGAGTGAGTACCAGGACAACCAGGGGTGTTACACAGAGAAATCTTGTCTCAAAAAACAAAAACAAAAAAAGATTTCTCATCCAAATTCAGATCTTATAGAAATGTTGCACTCAGGGGCCGTGAAGAGAAGAATCTTACAGTGCTGGAGGCAGGCAGTGGTGGCGCACACTTTTGATCCCAGCACTTAGGAGGCAGAGGCAGGCGGATCTGTGAGTTCGAGGCCAGCCTGGTCTACAGAGTAAGTTCCAGACAGTCAAGGCTATACAGAAACTCTGTCTTGAAAAACCAAAAGGAAAAGAGAGGGGGCAGGGTGCTGGAGATGCTCTAGAATGATGTCGCCATGAGGTCTGCTCCTCTCAGTCCGGCTCTAAAACCCATTAGATAATACAGGGAAAGTTTCCAGACTTCTAGGCACCCCCCACCTTTCTCTTGTCTATGGTAAGTGGAACTGCATCTCTAAATTAAATTCAGGGGCTGGCTCTGCTGAGGAGAGAAATCCCAGCCAGAGCAGGAGGGGGATGTTTGTCCTCCCATGTGTACTGACCTTTAGGACATTCACAGGACACTAGGATTTGGGACTCTGTGGCCACGTCCCAGGAAAATAATCCCTAACTTTTGAAAGTCTGCAACTCTGGGAGCTCTTGTGGAACGCTCTGGGATGAGGGCCGAGGATCTCCTTAGCAGGTGCACGTTTTGGGATCCATCCCCAGCACCCAGAGGAATAAAAACCAGGACATTTATCTACTTAGTGGCTCAAACCCAGGCCCTCTGCATGCTGCCTGCCAAGCACTCCACCACTGAACTGCACCCCAGCCACTGGCCACACGTGTAAAACAAGCATGTCTGTCTTCCTACAAAGCACGGGGGAAGAGTCATGGGTACTTTCTGTTTCCTCCCTCATGTGGGGAAGAAACAGTAAACCCGCTGCTCTGGAGCAAACCCTTCAGGAGTTCGGCCTCATTGGAATCAGTGTGCTTTAGTGTTCCCCATTTGACAGAGGAAGAAACCGAGGCCCAAGTAGATTCAATTGCTTTAAGCAGGTATCACAGGATACTGGGTAGCTTTGACCCCAGATTTAAACTAAGCCTGCCAGACACCAGCTCTTTGTTTGTTTGTTTTTAACTACTTGGCTATCCACAGTGTTACTTCAACCTCAGGGGGGAAAAAAAATCCTAACGTACAGACAGACACAGTGGCTTGCCCGAGACTGCCCAGCCAGTGGGCAGCAGGGCTTGAACTCCTGCTTCTGGAACTTTCCAACTGCTCTCCTCCCCAGCCCACCTGGCTGCCCCTGCCCTGGCTCACCTGCGCTCTTGCCCGAAGAGGCGCTCCACCTCTGCCCGGCCAGGGCTGCGGGTCCGGCCCTCGTTGCTGCCCTGTGCCTGGGGCTCTGGCCCCCTCTGGGCCAGCCTCCGGGGTGGGGGCAGGTCGGCCAGCATGGTGTATTCCTCCCTCTCCAAGTTGTGTCTGGTTTCCCCTGGGGGTGCTGAGCCTCGAGAGCCTGAGCTACCCGGGGGAGGGGAGGGGGCCAGGAGACCTAGATCACCGGGTGGGTGGCGGGGAGGGGAGGAGGCTCTGGGTGCGTCCCGATGGCCGATGCATACTTGGGGGGCCAGCAGTGGGGAGCCGTGCAGAGAGTCAATGGAAGGGGCAAGGCTCTCCATACTGGTGCCAGGGGGATCCTGGAAAAAGAGGGAAGGCTCGGGCGCCTGGCGTGGTGGGGAGGAGAAGGAGGGAGCATCTCTGTGTCCGATACATACAGGAGTGGGGACGTGGGGAGGCTCATGCAGAGAGTCTGTGGAAGGGACAAGGCTCTCTGTGCTGGCCCTGGGGAGATCTTGGAAGAAGGAGGGCTCTGGGAACTGGCGCGGTGGGGAAGAGGCCCGGGGGGCATCACGGTACCCGATGCACACTGGTGGGGGAAACTGTGGAGGATCATGCTGGGGGGACTCGTTCTCGGCATCTGATGTGTCTGGGAGGAAGGGGAAGGGGTCGAACTGGGTATGGCGAGGTGGTGAAGAAGCCCGGGGGGCATCACGGTGCCCAATACACACTGCAGGTGGCATGTAGGGGGGTTCGTGGTGGGGTGCTTCGCTCTCAGACGAGCGGGGATCCGGAAAGAAGGGGAAAGGGTCGTACTGAAAATAGCGAGGGGGTGAAGAGGCGCGAGGTGCATCCCTGTGCCCAATGCACACAGCACATGGTGGCTGGGCGGGCTCTGAAGAGGTCTGGGGAGCCCCTCGTGGTGCTGGGTGCGGAGGCGATGAAGTCCGAGAGGCGCTGGGGTGGCCTGGGTTATGACAGGTGGAGGAGGAGGTGGCCGGGGATGGCGAATAGTGCTGGGGAGGGTCGTGATGGGCTAGTTTGGTAGGAGCTGAGGTCTGAGGCCGGTCCCCTTGGGTTGGCCGGAGAGAAATGGATGCCCAAGGCACCTGGTTCTGTTTGGTGCGAGATGGCGATGAGGTTCGAGGACCATCACTCTGGGTGGGTCGAAGGGGGAAGGAGGCCCAAGGGATATCTTTGTTGGTCCGGTGGGGAGAGGGGTTCCGGGAACTACTCCCCTGAGGGGCCCGGCGGGGAGATGATGGTCCTGGGTTGTCCTTTTGGGTGCAGCCTTGAGAGAAAACCCTGGGGTTGTCTCGTTGGAAGGAAGATGATGATGGTCCTGGGTTGTCTCGTTGGGTGCAGGCGCTTCGGAGATGTTCCCATCTGCTGCAGGAGGCTGTAGTCTTGACTCCTTGGGTGGAAGGGTTCCTGGGGGTGTTCGGCGGTATGCAAGAAGTCCTGGGGTTGTCCTTCTGGATGGTTCTGTTGGGAGAGGAGCTCCTTGGATTGTCCCTCTGGGCACAGGGAGTTCTGGGGTTGTCCCTTTGGGTGGTTCTGTTGGGAGAAGAGCTTCTAGGGTTGTCCCTCTGGGCACAGGGAGTCCTGGGATTGTCCCTCTGGGCACACGGAGTCCTGGGATTGTCCCTCTGGGCACACGGAGTCCTGGGGTTGTCCCTCTGGGCACAGGGGGTCCTGGGGTTGTCCCTCTGGGTGGTTCTGTTTGGAGAGGAACTCCTAGGATTGTCTCTCTGGGCACAGGGAGTCCTGGGATTGTCCCTCTGGGCACAGGGGGTCCTGGGGTTGTCCCTCTGGGTGGTTCTGTTTGGAGAGGAACTCCTAGGATTGTCTCTCTGGGCACAGGGAGTCCTGGGATTGTCCCTCTGGGCACAGGGGGTCCTGGGGTTGTCCCTCTGGGTGGTTCTGTTTGGAGAGGAACTTCTAGGATTGTCCCTCTGGGCACAGGGAGTTGTGAGATTTTCCCGCTGGGTGGTTCTGTTGAGAGAGGAGGCTTGGGCACAAGGAGACGATGCGACGTGGGGGCCATCTTGTGGTGTGGAGGTCTTGAGGCTCTCTTGATGAGCTCTGAGAGGAGAGGACAGTGGAGTGCTGCTTCTCTCGGTGGACACGGTTCTAGGAGTGACCCTCTGGGAAACTCTTGAAGGAGAGGATGTTCTGGGGGTGTTCCGCGGTGGGGCTAAGGTCCTGGGGGTGTCTCTTTGGGGGTTTCTAGGTAGAGAGGAAGCTTGGGAGGGTTCTTGTGCAGAAGAAGCCTCCTGGAAAACATCTCTTTGAGCAGAAGAGGCCTGGGTGGCGGTCCGAGGTCCACCCGGTGGTGTCCCGGAGGAAGCCTGGGTTTGCCCCGAGCGATGTCGCTCCAAGGAGAAGTAGCCGCTTTCTGCCCGCAGCTTCGCCCAGTGCTGGCCAGCACTCTCCCCACCGCTGCCAGAATCTGGAGGGAAACGAGGATGTTTAAGGTGGAGAGGGAGCCAGGGAGGACAGAAAAGCCCAGGGGCAGCCCCCAGCCTGCTTCTAATAGGTTTCAGTGTCTAGTCAAAGAGGTGCACCCTTCCCATTCAGGCTGAGACCAGGCTCAGGCACCCATCTGCTACCAGGCCAGGGATTCACAATGACTCGCGGAATGGGGCCAGAGCAAGAAGGTCGTGTCAAAGGAGATCAAGGGCGTAGAGAGCAGTGACCCCAGAGAGGCGGAAGCGGACCAGGGGCAGCTGTCTGATGATATTGACTCCTCTCCTCTGCTTCCTGGGTGGGATGTCCACAAATCATCCTCACTTCTAAGAAACCCCTCTTGTGGGTGCCAGGCCATAAGTGCCCGTGCCTACACCTGAGGACTCTTCCTACCCCTCCTGCCCCAGAGGCTCATGCCAGGTGCTGGGAATGTGCACGGAGAGGGCACCTATGTGTCTGTGAGGGCGGCAGACGCCCAGGTCTAGCACAGAGCAGAACGGGCACCTAACCAGGTTACTGCATGTGACAGTTAACATTGTCAACAGGATATACTCACCCAGGGGACAAACCTCTGGGCGTCTCTGTGAGGGCGTTGCTAGATTGGGGCAACTGAAGAAGAGAGAGGCCCGGCTGAAATATGGGCAGCATTATCCCATGTGCTGGGGTCCCAGAGTGGATTAAAAGGACAAAGCAAGCAAGGGCCAGCGAGATGGCTCAGCTGGTGAATGTGCTTGTGGCTAAGCCTGATGACGTGAGTTTGATCCCCAGGACCCACAGGGTGGAGAAAACTGACTACTCCGGGAGGTTCTCTTCTGATCTTCACACAAGCTCCTCGGCACACATGCCCACACACGTGCGTAAGCTCACGCCCACACACGAATAAATAAATGAACTTTTAAAAAGCGAGGACACACGGAGGCCAGGGAGCCTGCGCTGGGCACTGCTGTTCGTCTAGGTCGGTGATTCTCAACCTGTGGGTCTCGACCCCTGGAGGGTCGAGTGACCCTTTCACAGGGATTGCCTAAGATGATAGGAGAACACAGATATTGACATTACGATTCGGAACAGTTGCAGAATTACAGTTATGAAGTAGCCACAAAAAATAACAGCAAGATTGGGGATCACTTGCACGAGGAACTATATTAAAGGGTTGCAGCCTTAGGAAGGTTAAGAAACAATGCTGGGCCGGGCGGTGGTGGCGCACGCCTTTAATCCCAGCACTCGGGAGGCAGAGCCAGGCGGATCTCTGTGAGTTCGAGGCCAGCCTGGGCTACCAAGTGAATTCCAGGAGAGGCGCAAAGCTACACAGAGAAACCCTGTCTCGAAAAACCAAAAAAAAAAAAAAAAAAAAAAAGAAACAATGCTGGGCCAGGCGGTGGTGGCGCACGCCTTTAATCCCAGCACTCGGGAGGCAGAGCCAGGTGGATCTCTGTGAGTTCAAGGCCAGCCTGGTCTACAGAGCGAGATCCAGGACAGGCACCAAAACTACACAGAGAAACCCTGTCTCAAAAAAACCAAAAAAAGAAGGAAAGAAAGAAGGAAGGAATGAAGGAAGGAAGGAAGGAAGGAAGGAAAGCAAGCTAGCTAGCTGTAGGTACTTCCTGACTGCAGATCCATCGTGACCAGCCATCACACTTCCGCCACCAAGCCTCCCCTGCCATGTTGGATTGTATCCTCGGCCTTCCTTCCTGAAATTTCTTTTGTCAGGTATAAAGAAACTAACACTTTAGGCACCTCAAGGGCGTGCTGCTCTTAGAGACGAATGAGCTGCCCTCAACAGTGACCATGTCACGGCTCCTGACTGCCCTGAACTTGGGGTCAACCTCCACCCTTTTCAATCCCTTAACCATCAGCTATGTGTGCTCCCGTCCCTCCTCCTGCAGTAGCAAGCCATGGCTGCCTTCATGAGGACACTTCCTTCACATTCAACCCCTATCCCCTCCAATCTTGCTACACTGGTAGCTGGTGTCCCTGAAGTCTGAACTCTCAACACCGGAGTGGATCTGAGGCGCCTCAAGACGTCCTCTAAATCCACCTGCTCTGTCATCCCCAGCCCCCACCCAAGGTCACTGTCATTTTTGCTCAATCTCAATAGTCCTCCCCTACAGCTTGAGTGCTCTTTGCCCAGAGTTATCGTTCCCCCACAAAGCACAGTGAGTAGGTCTGCCCTGCTCACAACCTTGAGGGGCAGGCAGGTAAGGAATGGCCAGGAAACTGTCACAGGAGGAAGGACCAGAGAAGGTCAGCTGACTAAATGCAGTGAGATCCTGCGTCATGTCCCAGGACAGAGAAGGATTTCGGACTGTTGGAGACTGTAACCTTAGCACTAAACCCCGAGAGATGGAGGATGCCGGAGGATTGCCGCAAGGTTGAGGCTGCCCAGGGTTCCAGAGTTTGAAGCCAGCCAGGACTACAGAACAAGATCTTGTAACAGACAAACAAACCCAAAGGGATTGGAGGAGGAGAAGAAGTGGACCTGATTAATCTGTACTTTACTGCTATCGTGTTCACGCTCCCTTTTGTTTCTGGGGCTGGAGTCTAGGGTCTCACACTGCAGGCAAGTGCTGAGACACATCCCAGCCCTCACCAATGTGACTTATTTGTTTGTTTATGGACTTTGGTTTTTCGAGGCAGGGTTTCTCTGTGTAACAGCCCTGACTGTCCTGGAACTCGCTTTGTAGACCAGGCTGGCCTCAAACTCACAGAGTGCTGGGATAATGCTAATTTCTTCACTCCAGCCTCTGCATAGTTGTATGTGACTCTAACAACATCAGGGAGACCTGGGCAAAGGGTCCAATAGCCCCATAGCTACCATCTTGGAAAATCTAAGATTATTTCAAAATGAAAGAAAATACCCTCTAGGGGGCTTCCCGCTGGATTTGGACTAAGACCCAGGCTGTGCAGGGATTGTCTCCCTCCACACCCCACCCTTGCCCACTTGCCAGGGTCCAGCACCCACTCTTTGAGGTCCTCCAGCACAGCACAGGAGCCTCACCACCCAGGGCCATTGCTCTTGCTGCTGCCTCTGTCTGAAGTGGGCAGCATCCTTCTAGAACTTAGTTTCCTGGCCAAGGGCTGCCTTCCATGTACCCTTCTCATGTCTATTTCCTTGACTACCTGCTCTTCTCCTAGCAGCCCTGTGTGATACAGCCTGGTGTTCCCATGGTGCCTCTGGGACTTGCAGAGGTTTTCAGCACACAATAGGTGTGCAGTACACACAGTGCTCTCACCTCTGGTTCTGGTTCTGCAGTGACCTTACCCTTTGTGCCATATATTGCCTTAGCTGCCTCCTGCTACCCCACATCAAGATGCCCTAGGAGCCCGGTTCTCACAGGACGTGGCCTCCATGCAAGACAGGTACACAGCTGTGCTTGGGCAACCTGTGTCTTGCGTCCCCCTTCCCCCCAGTGAGCTGCGGGACTGGGATGTGCCCAGCAGAGGCTCAGTCCCTGACTGCAATATTGCAAGTAGCCACGAGGTGGCCAGTGGCCACAGATTCTAAGTAGGTCACAGAGAGGCTACCACCCACTGCCCAGGGACTTTCAAAGCAAGAAAGCAAAGCCTGGGTGTGTGCGGCCTGTCTGTAATCCCAGCACGGAGGAAGCAGAGACCGGAGGATCAGGAATTCCAGACCAGCCTCAGCTACATAGAGTCCAAAGCTCACTTGAGCCAGGATCACAGGCATTGCACCCCCACACTCAACTGGGGCATTTTAGCATCAGGATTTAAAAAGGAAGGGATGAGGTGCTATGTGCTATCTTGTCCCCAGACCTCACAGGGAGGGGCATTTTGTCCCACATGGGGACACTAAGTGGCCTCTTGGCTGTGTGGCAGCATCTGCAAAGCTCTCCAGCCTCGGGGAGCCTTTTCCCTACAGCTCAAGTGTGGTCTGAGGAACATTGTGAATACCCTGCTCATCCTGTTGGCGGGAAACCTCTACCGTGGGATTCAGCATCAGCCAGTGACAACTCTGGGCTGAACCAGGTGTTACTAGGTGGCTCACGTGACTTCCCATCCTCCTGCCTCACTCTGCTCCAGTGCATTCTGACTTCGCACCCGGCACCATCCCAAGGCATAGGTTCAATAACATCACTCCTCACCCCCTGCCCAAACCTTGCTTAGAGAAGAGAATCTCAACCCCTTGGCAAGGCTGAGGAGGCCCAGCACAGCCTACCCCTGGTGCGCACCCCACCCATGTTTAAACTGCAGCTGCTAACGGGCCACGTAGTCCTGCCTCCTTGTTCTGCTCTCCTCGGCCCTAACAGTCCTCTCTCCTGTGCCAGCCCTGTACCCATCTGTGGTGGCTTGAATAAAAATGACCCTCCATAGCTGGGCAGTGGTGGCGCACGCCTTTAATCCCAGCACTCGGGAGGCAGAGGCAGGTGGATCTCTGAGGCCAGCCTGGTCTACAGAGCTAGTTCCAGGACAGTCTGGGCTACACAGAGAAACCCTGTCTGAAAAGCAAAAAGGAACCAAAACGAAAGACTTCTTCTCTTCCCCCATGCCGGTGTCTGCGCCTCCTCTGTCCTGGACGACAGGAGCTAGCTCCTGTCTGTCTGCTTTGCTAGAGGCTGAGCTTTCTAGGGCAAGGGTCAGTCTAACTCCCCCTGAGATCCCAGAGCATCTTCTCCCAAACTTCACACATGCCTACTGATGAGACTCCTTAAGGACCATGGAAGCCAGGACTGCCATCAGGGAAGGTGGTGGGTATGGTGATATTTTATTTGTATTAAAATATTATTTGTATGTTAATAAATAAAGTTGCCCGGGGGTCAGAGCTATTAGCAAGCCATAGGAAAGCAGGGCAGTGGTAGCGTATGCTTGTAATTCCAGCACTTGGTAGGCAGAGCTGGGTAAGTCTCTGTGTGTTCAGGGATACAGCCATTATTGGATACACATGCTTTTAATCTTAATACCAATCATGGAAAACCTGGAGGCCTATACAGACAGGCTGTGAGGAGGCGGTCATGTGGTTGGGTTTACAACCAATGAGAAGGCAGGACAGGAACTCTATATAAAGACTTTAACACAGGGGTAGCTCTGGTTCGGAGAGGTAGGACCACCGCAGGAGGAAGGGTAAGGTTTTAGCTCTTAGCTCTGACCTCTTGGCTTTCTTCTTTGCATTGGTTCTGTGTTTATTATTTAATAAGAAGGTTGGATACATCTACAGGTGGGTGTTCTGGCATTCTAGCCCCAACTCCTGACCCACTGAAGAGATACCAGGGTCAGAATTGGGTGCCCACTATACTGAACTCACATCCCAGCAAGATGCTGGTCAACCTCCCCAACTTCCATGAACTTGGCATAACAATGGTGCCCTCCCCCATCTCTCTCTGTCTCTCTCTTTTTCTTTCTCACAACAGCACCCTGACTTCCTCTGGGGATTCTCCCTTCCTCCTAGCTCAGGCCATGGGGTTTGCACAGGAGGCCAGACTTGGTGATCGAGATGACCCCCAGCGGTCCCGGTGATAACCCTTCCTGAGACTTAACGGTGGTCATAGGAAAGATATGCCCTTCTTCCGTGGGACACAAGCTGGCCCCTCTGGTGGTCATCATGTTATTATTGGAGAAGTGTTTGACCAGGAATGAAGCCACTTCCACAGAAGGCAGAATGGAGAGGAGATCTGGGTACTGTCTGGACACCTGGGTCCAGCCATCCCTGAAGTCCCACCCTTACCATTCTACTTATGGCAGGTGTTCCACTTGGGTTCACCCAGCTTCAGCCTCTTAGAACTTAGAGTTCCCAATCTTTCAACCAAGGGAAAGCGTCCTTAAGTTGGGCAGCAGGACACTCGATATAAGAACTTCTATTATTAAGATTGGGGCCCTTGGGGTTGGAAAGACAACTCAATGGTTTAAGAGCACCGACTGCTCTTGCAGAGGACCCGGGTTCAATTCCCAGCACCCACAGGCAGCTCACAACTATCTGTAACTCCAGTTCCAGGGGATCTGACACCCTCACACAGACATACATGTAGGCAAAAACACTAATGCACATAAAATACAAATAAATTTAAAGAGAGAGATTCTGCCCCTCAAAGGAAGCCGAGCCAGTGAGATGGCTTTGGGGGGACCCAAGCCATCACCACTTCGTGGTCATGAGACCACCCTACCACCCTAGAAGTACTCACCCTCCTTTCTCTGGCCCGCTGTGTCTCCTCTGGCCGGGGACCTGGTGACCCTTCGAGCACTGTCAGCTCTCAGCCCCTCCTGAGGCCTCCTTGGGATCATCACGTTGAGTCTGTCCCCGTTGGGGACCACCCCTGGCCTCTCAACAGTGTCCCAATCCTGCTGGGGAGGAGAAGAGGGCCCCAAGCCTGTATCCCAGCATGAAGGGTAGAAGAACAGGTTTTTAAGGGCACCTGCCACCTGAGTGGGGCTCTCAGCCAGTGATAACTCAGCGAACCTTCTATCAACCTTGAGAAAGAGGTACAGACATTGAAATCAAAATCTGGGCCGAAGTCACACGGATGGAAGAAATGGGTTCAAATCCTAGGCCTACTGCTTTACAGCTGGGTGGTCTCAAGTGAGTTACTTCCCTGCTCTGGGCCTCCCCCTAACAGGACCACAGCAGTCTCTAGCATAGAGGGTGGTGGAGAGCCGGGCATGAGCTCAGGCCCACTGAGACCTTTGCACGGTACCTACCACGCGTGTGAACAGGCTGGGTGCGTTGTTTATGTGGAACCCATTCTTCCCTGTCATTTCCTTTTTTCGGGGAGGGGGTAGGGTCTGAACGTGTGAAAGCACAGGGACAGCCTCCTGGCTCCTCTCTCCCGCCAGCTCCTGCCAGCTCCCAAGCCTGTTCCCTTCCCTCTGCCTTTGGAAATCAGCACCAGGACTGGTCACGGTCTGGGTCTCAGCAGCATGTGGCCAGGGCAGGGCTGGGGCCAGCCTCATGCCTGCTTCCCAGCCCTGAGACCTGAACTGACTAGTGAGTCACCCAAAGTCCCTACTGGACTGAAATGCCTCCGTCCACCTGTCTACAGTACCACCCGCCCTGAGGCAGCCCAGCAGAAGCCGCACCCTCCCATCAGGGAAGGCAACGGCCAAGCCTGGCCCAGGGTTCTGCTGTGAGAGGCTCAGCCCTCCTCTGGAGGCTTAGCGTGCTTGTCTCCAGGGCCGAGGACCCTGGATGACCCTGTTCTTGTTCCCAGATTCTGGCCCTCAGCTCACCACAGAGGAAGAAGTGCTGGTATCATGAGGGGTGCTGCTGTCCTGGCTGGAGCTGGTGTCAGAGTCGGGGTCCTTGTTGTCCCAGCTACTACAGGCCGGGCCCTCCAGATAGGGTACCACCTCAGGGTCCTGGGGCCTGTTCCTTGGAGCAGTTGCAAGGCCCTCTGCAGGGAGAGCTGCTGTTGGAGACCAGACCCTGGGAGAGGAGAGAGACCATTTGTTTTCCCCTAAAAGGTAAACGACGACGTCAGGGACTGAGTCCTGCCTGCCCACAGGGACATGCAGGTGTGCTCACACCATGCCGAGGGCTGCAGCCACAGAACAAGAAGCCAGTGCTGGGCGTTGGGGATTTAGCTCAGTGGTAGAGCGCTTGCCTAGCAAGCGCAAGGCCCTGGGTTCGGTCCTCAGCTCCGGAAAAAAACAAAAACAAAACAAACAAACAAACAAACAAATAAGAAGTCAGTGCTGAAGACATTTGGGTTGGGCTCTATACGGACCACCTCCTAGAGCTGTAGCAGCCTCCCAAGGGAGAGAGTCCCACCATATAGATGAAGAAACCCAGGCTCTGAGGGGTCAAGAGCCTGGCCGAGGCTCCCAGCCCATTTCAGTGAACAGGTGTGGGGACACTGAGCCAGGTTGGCAGATGAAGGCTGTTAAGCGTTGTGAGGTAAAGCGTGTTCCAAGGGCAAGAGCTGTGGAAATGAGTGCACTGTACAGAAGTGGTCCCTGTGGCCCCCACTCAAGAGGCTTAAGGCTCACGGCATTCCCAAAGTGACCCACACACGGGCCTACAAAATAGTAAGGAGTCATGACGCTCTAAAAGAGATCTATGGTGAAGGAAATACAGAACATTCTACACACGTCCCGACCTTTACGCCTCAACCACGCAATGCAGGTTGGCAAATCAAACGCTCTGACAATCCTACAGGAAAGATTCCTCGTAATTTGTCCTGGACTTCCTGAAATACACCGACCTTCAGAGCCTCCCTTTTCTCTTTCTCTTAAAATGATGCCCACCCGAGGGGAACATCTGCCCTCAAACAACGAGGAATTGGTCCAGCCTCTCTCTTTAAAACTTATTTCTGCAGTACTGGAAATCAAACCCAGGATCTTAGGCACACCGCCTGTCACCGAGCTACACTCTCAGCCCATCTTGTTTTACAAACAGGAAAAGTGAGGTATAAAAAGACGGAATATCATGCCAAAGGTCCCACAGTCCAACACAGCAGATGTGAAACTGGGATCCAGCTCTCTGAACCCCCAAGCCACAGCCTCCCAAGGTCTCATGACCCCAGTAAGGAACTTGGGGTCCGTTCGGGCCTAGACTGGAGGGAATCTCCAAGTCTGGGGACCCAGTCAAGCAGGGGTGGCCGCAGGTGCCCTGGCTGAGAGGTCCATTCAATCTTTTAGGGGGTGTGGGGGCAAGAGTCTAGCTTTGAGCTCCAAATCCTCTTGCCTCCACTTCCTGAGTGCTGGTATCACATCCATCTGCCACCTCACCCAGCTCCTTCAATCTTTTAAAACCGCACACAGGAACCAGGAGACGTACATAGCTATCCACTACCCCATGGAATTATGGGACAGTCCGGGCCATCGGGAAAGACAGCCAGGGGCAGGGTCAGAGACTCAGATAAAACAAGGACAGATCAATGTGAGCTTTCCAGGGGTCCCAAGGACCCCTGAAAAACATTCGCTGTCAGAGTCCTCTGTGCCCAGACTTTGTGGGCTGGCCACGTGACCCATGACAGCTGTTGTAGATGGACACTGCCATCATGAAGAGTTGCATGTAGGGAAGGTATGGACATTCACCTCCCCCCACCCCCGGGAACCCGTCCATGGAGCGGGGGGCTCTACCCACCTCTGAGACCCCTGCCTGAGGCCAAGACCTTCCACAGAGTGGCCAGCACAGGTGGTGGTGTCGAGCGGGTCCTGAGGGGCCGGTGGGCAGCAGGGCAGGTCGCAGTAAGGGGCCTCGGCACTGGAAGGGCTGTGAGGCTCCTGGGCCCGCATTGGAGAGAGGAGACAGCTCAGGCCCACGTGGGACTCCCCTTCTCCCTCCCCCAGACAGCCCCTCCCAGCTCAGACTGGTGGGTGTCTCCAAAAGTCATCTCCTGGGATCTCCTGCTCAAGACCAGCCACTCCATCAGCTGGAGGTGCCCTGGGGACTCTGATTAGAGTCAGCAGGGTACCTGGAGTACATATGCACACGTGTACATGCATGAGTCCAGGTACATGTGTGTGTGTCTGTATGCGGATAAATACCTGTGGTTTGGGGTACCCATGTGTTACATCATTGTTGAGGGATATGTGTCCAATTGCATGTGTACAGGCCTGTCAGCTACACCAATGCATATATGTGTGCAAGATCATGTAAACACAAATGTATGTGTTCATGCCTGAGAATGAGAAATGCACCAAAGGCCCCAGTGCAGCTTTGCATCCAGAAAACAAGAGGGAAGGAGAGAACTGGCCTAGTCTGGAATGGAAGAAGGGGTCTGAAGGAGGAGGGGCCAGCAAGATCTAGAAGAAATGAAGAGTTCTGTTCCACTACAGGAGAGGCAGGGGCCCCAAAGTAGAGGGTCACAGCCCCAAGCTAGAGGTGCACCCTTGGCGCTGCCCACACCACAGCAAGGCCGCACCTGGAAAGGCTGGTATTGGGCTCAGCCAGAAGGAACGGCTGCTCCCCTCAAAGAAGGCCCCCCCATTCCCTCCACCTCCCAGAATGGCAGAGCCCTCCCCTGGTGGTGGGAGACAGGGCCATGGCACCTTGTGCCCCGCCTCCTCTCGGGTTACCTGGGCAGCGGGCTCCGGCAGTGGCAGCTGGCGGCTGTCAGCACCCTCGTTCCCGGGGGGCTCCGGCTCAGGCCCCCACACTGCCGCCCTCCCAGGCCCTGACTCTGGGCCGTGGTGGCTGTGGTGCTCCAGGCAGCAGAAACCTTAGAGGGGCCAGCCTCGGGAGCAGGGCCCTTCATTACTGTTTCATAAGCCGGGGCCCAGCCAAGAACAATGCAGGACATGAAACCAGAGGAACCCGATCCTGGCGGCTCACCTGAGAGCAGGCCCGGTGGGAGTCTCCCTGGGGACCCTGGAGCCCAGTGACTGGGACAGAGGCTGTAGCCCAGGCAGTGCCCTGGGTGGGCAGAAGTGCTCTAGAATTCAAGAAAGCCACCATGAGCAAGGCCAGGCTGGGCCGAGGAAGGGCTAGGGGTCTGCAGCCACATCCAGGCCAAAGGGAGCCGATCAGGATTCAGTTTCACACCTGCCCCACAGCCAGATTCTGATCAGAGCCAGGCAGCCGGAGGTGTCAGATCCACAGCCGGGCCTGGCGCCTTGGCTACCCAGGGGACAGCATGGCATGAAGGAGGGGAGGGAGCGGACTCTCAACCCAACCCCTGCACTTCCAAAGGCCCCACCCAGCATGCACCCCAGGCTGACCTAGCACCTGGTTCTTGCTTGCACCCTTAGCCCCATCCCCTCCCCCATTCATGTGACTGTGTCCAGTGGTCAGTCCCCAGCTCTGATTTCCTGCCCAGTCAGTGTTCAGCGTCTCCGCCTCTAACAGACCTGGGTCCCATCCCAGGTGGATGACCTCACTCAGTGGCTTCCCTTCTCTGGGCCTTACTGTCAATGAAAAGGAGTCAGAGGTGTGACCAAGACCTTGGCTAGGTGACTTGGCCTCAATTGCATCACCTATAAAACTGTCATGATAACCCCAGCCACCCCCTAGGGGACAGGAGGAGAATTACATGAGGTGACATTTGTCTATCATAAACACAAAAAAACCGATAGAGAACATTAAGAAGAATCTTACAAATGTTAAATTGGTAGGATAATATTAAATACAACTAAGAATAAATAAATTAGCCAGACCTGGTGATACAATGCCAGAACTAAGGATTATGAGTTCGAGGCCAGCCTGGGCTACATAGAAAGAGTCTGTCTGAAAAGGGCAGGTGGGGATGGGGCTGATGATAACAAATAGAGTATAAAGGTCTGTATGGCCCTAGCATAAAGCAAGGCCCTCCCACCCAAACAATCCTCCCTCCCTCCAAACCTGGCCATAGCCTGCTCCATACCATGTGACTTCCAGGGCTCAGCTTCCACCAGCCCCTCCGCCGCCTCCAAGCCTGTGGACTCAGGTGTGTCTGGAGTCTGAGGGTTTCAGAAGCTGGAGATGCCAAGAAACTGTGTACGACCAGCAGCTAATCATTTCCAGTAGGTCATAGGGGACACTATGTGACCACAGCCATCTCTACACATGCTTGAGCAGCTGAAGCCATGAGCAGGGGAGCCTAGGCCATCCCCTGTGGCAGATGTGGTGGGGACCTAGTTAGGGGCTGCACTACTCTCTCAGGCCAGTGATGCTTTTAAATACAGACCTCTTCTGTGCTCCGTGTGTCTGGATTGAAAGGTAGAAGCAAATGGGGCCTAGATTCCAGAATCCTTTGGGGCAAGGTTGGCTACATTCGGTTCCTTGGAGACGTGCTCTAAGAATGATCTGGAGGGACAGTGGACAGTACAGACAGAGCAAGGGGAGAGAAAGTGACTCCACAAGCAGCACTTAAGGGCAGGTGCCGGTGTCCTGGGGAAGTGGTCAAGATTCTCCAGCCACTGCCTCCCACCTAATGGGGAATGGGGTCCAGGGAAGCAGCCAGAGGAGATTCAGAAGAGGTGAATTGATAAGGGTCAGATAATAACCTGGCTTGTTAGCAGAGTGGTGGCCACAGCACACTTTTTTTTTTTTAATTTTATGTACATTGGAGTTTTGCCTGAATGTGTTTCTGTGTGAGGGTGTCAGATCCCCTGGAACTGGAGTTACAGATACTTGTGAGCTGCCATGTGGGTGCTGGGACTTGAACCAGGGTCCTCTGGAGGAGCAGCCAGTGTGCTTAACCTTTGAGCCATCTCTCTAGCCCTGGTGATGCACACCTTTAGTCCTAGGACTTGGGGAGGCTGGGGCAGGCAGATCTCTAAGTTAAAGGCCAGCCTGGTCTACAGAGTGAGTTCCAGGACAGCCAGGGCTACATAGAGAAACCCTGTCTCAAGGGAAAAACAAAACAAACAAAACAAAACAAAACAAAAAACCCTGACTTGTTTTATGTAATGTCAGAAATGGATGGAAATCATAGACTTGTTCATGTTAGGCAAGGGTCCTACTTCTTCTTTTTTTTTTTTTTTTTCAAGACAGGGTTTCTCTGTGTAATTTTGATGCCTGTCCTGGATCTCACTCTGTAGACCAGGCTGGCCTCAAACTCACAGAGATCTGCCTGCCTTTGCCTCCCGAGTGCTGGGATTAAAGGCGTGCACCACCACCGCCCGGCGCAAGTATCCTACTTCTGAGTTGCATCCCTAAACTAGGGTGGTGTGTGCGTGTGTGCGCGCGCGTGTGTGTGTGTGTGTGTGTGTGTGTGTGTGTGTGCGTGCGTGCGTGCGTGTGTGTGTGTGTGTGTGTGTGTGTTAGGTGCACATGAACATGTGGAGACTGGAGAGTGACATTGCACTGGTGTCTTCCTCTACCATTTTCCACCTTTTATTTATTCATTTATCTAAGCAAAGTCTCTGTAGCCTTGGCTGACTTGAAACTCACAATGTAGCCCAGGCTGGCCTTAAACTCTTCAAAGAGATCCACTTGCCTCTGCCTCTCAAGTTCTGGGATTTAAAGGTGTGGACTACCACGCACAGCTCTACCCTTTTTTTTTATATATGAAATGGAATTTATTCAGACACAAAGAAAAATGAAATCACAGTGTTTGTAGGAAAATACATGGAACTGTAAATTAAGCAAAATAAACCAAATGTAGAAAGATAAATATAGTACATTTTCTCTCATATACAAACCCTCGATTTGGGGGGGGGGCAGGCTAGCACGCCACAGTGTGCATGTGGAGGTCAAAGGATAAACTCAAAGGAGTGACTGCTTCAGCACAAACTTCAGGTGATGAATCCGTTAGAACTGTCTGCTACCTGTTAAGGTTATGCCATTCTGTGAGGCTCCTACACCTAGCTGTCATTTGCCCACAATTCCAACTCAGCAAAATTTATATGCTTAAGCTGAGATAGGGATTGTCAGTGGAGAATTTGTTCTTTTGTTGAAATTTACTATTATACTTTTACAAAAGGGAGGAAGAGAATATGATGGCCATTTTAAAAGTCAAATACTGCGCTGGGTTTTGATTGTTTTGCTTTTTTTTAAATGCCGAATGCTGTTTATTGAAGGAGGGAAGAGGTCTTAAATACAGGCTTACAGCACAATGGGAGAACCCCGGAGGGCAGAAGTTCACTACAGATGTTTTACAATCTTGCATCTAAGCTATTAATGCCCATTATGCAGGATACACAGACAAGGAACTTCCCTTAAGCATTCAGGAGGGTGGAACCCAGCAGGGAATTAGCATAGGGAGGATATCAAGGTCAAGGTCAGCAAGCAAGGCAACAGTTACCCAAAACGGGGGGGGGGGGGGGGGGGGGGGGGGGTGGGGGGGGGGGGGGGGGGGGGGGGGGGGGGGGGGGGACGACAGGGCCCTACAGGTCCCTCTTTTACTAAAAAATGAGCTTCTGACTTAGGTTGTGTGAGAAGTCAGCAGGTCACCTTACCCATCATGGAGACGCCTGCCCAGGCCACACAGGCGCTCTGTCTTAGGTTGGTGAGTGCCCCCCAGGCATTACCCATCTCTGAATACTCATTATCATACAGGCTCAATCGTGTGTGAGTTGCAGAGTTAACTGCTGCCAAAGATCTCAAAGTGGCACTGGGCTAGCAATCTGTGTGTTCGACACAGAAAAGACCAACAGAGGTCCTATCCCACCCATAGCCAGTAGGCTAAAGGCAACTGCAGCTCTACCCTTTTAAAAAATTATTTTATTTTGTGTGTATGATTGCTTGCCTACATGTATGTCTGTGTGCCACATGCATTCAGTGTACACAGAGGTCAAAAAGGTGTTCGGTCCTCTGGAACTTGAGTTAGAGATGGATCTGAGCCTCTATGTGGGTACTGAGA